GTAGACGGGTAAGAAACTATCTGTAGATTCCGAGAATTTGGTGATGAACAATTGGAATTTAACCGGCGCAATAGATCAAGCACAGAAGTTCTATAGCGAGGACGTCGAGGGTGATAAAGTTTGTGTGTCGCTTTGGAAGGGACAACAACGTACGAACGTGACCTATCATTTCAACACCCGTATCGTCTCACCCTCCGGGGGCTGCCGTGTCGAATGTAGAATGGGTTCCCTTGGCATATGTAATCTGATACTTTCGGCTTGGTCAACAAAGAAGTCCCGACTTCGCTAGGTAAGCATGATGGTTATACAGCGCCTTGGTAATAACGAAACATTTGAGGCTCTCGAAGGAGGGGCGACCGAATGGGGAGGCTCCCTTTCTATAGGTACTTAATGTCTACAACGGTCCATCTATATTACAATTCCATTCTTCAACCGACGTCCCAATCGTCAGCTACCGGGACCGGAGTCCCTCCAACAAGAAACGTGATCTCGTCTCCCCCCCGCGCCGTAGATATATTACTATTTTTTCCAGCACACTTATCACTTCGGCCCGCTGTGAGAGAGTGTATACGGGCCCTTCCAGTGTGAACAGGAGCTTTCCTCCTTTGCAGACGGACACATACACACACGCTCCTTTGAAATCAAAGTGGAGAGAGTTTTTCGTCTATACCACCCCTCGGCCTGTCCCCCTCTTCAGAGGCCGCTTCTTTCCCGCTCGCTCAAACCGCAGGAATTCCAGGGGAGCCCCTTTCCTCCCCATAACGCCGTGCAATGCAAAACCCATCTTTTGGTACATGTACAGAACGTGACTCTTTCTTCGTGAGCAAGCCACACACACACACACACACACACCCTGCGTGACCCCCTATTCAGACACGAAAAAATCCAACCGGTAGAACCGCTCTCACTCATCCTTGGGCTGCCGCAAGTACACGTCGATGGCGGCGCTAAAGGCCGCAAAGGCCACGCAGCCGCCGAGCGCGGCCTGCGGCCCCGCGTTCTTGGCCAGCAGGCCGCCCGTCAGGCACCCCGCCGCGACGCCGTTAGCGAGGTCGTTTTTGGCCCGCAGGCCCTCGATGCCGCACTCGATGCCGGCGTAGAGCCCGCCTACCTTGCCAAAGTTCTTGGCCATGCCGTACGACCGCACGCCCATGTCCTTGAAGCCCACCTTGAGCTGCTGGCGCAGCGGTAGGTCCGCGATCGGCGTCACCGTTGTCTGTCCCGCCGTCGTCGCCGTGTGGAAGGGGGTGTCGTAGGACATCTGTCAGGCGCGCGGGCACCGCAAGTCAGTCATTTGTGGTATTTTTTTAAAAAAAAAAAAAATTGAAATAAAAAGAAGTCCAAAATTTTCGAGTCGAGAGGAAGGACAAACGTACAGACGCCATGAACATGCCGAACAATCCGCCCATGCCGAAACCCATGACTCCGGATATGATGCTCTTGGTGAAGCAGTTCTCCATGAAATTGGCCATCTACGCAGCCGGTCAATTAGCCTCCCGTTCTTCAGTAAAGCCGATTCCCCTGCGAGCGCATCGTCGCAGAGACAACAGAGGGTACTGGTTCGATGGCTTACGGCCTTGATCTCAGGGTCCGGGGGTCCCAGACCGGCTGCTGCGGCGCCGGGGGTTTCGCCTTGCGGTATTTGAGACGGCGTCTGACCACCGCCGGGAAAATCCATCTTGTTGAATAGTAGGACGGACGTCGTTTAGTGAGCGGCTCGGTTTGGAATACGCCGGTAATGCGATCGTGACGGGCAGTCCAGGAGTGCGTAGGAGCTGACGGATGGATCCCGAATATTTCTGCCAGCAAATACCGCCCATTGAATACTCGAACAAAATTTCGATGCTTATCTTATCAGCATACGGAGCACGTGCTGTGCGCCAAGACCCGACCGACCTCCGAGCGGGCTATTCCGACCTTTGGCGGGGCGAATGCCGCGTCGTCTCCGCATTACACTTTCGGGGGCACGAGTGACTCGCATAGATCTGGACTCAAATGAACTCTAAACACGATAATGTTTGGCCGACTTCGCCCCAGACTATGCTACTGGCAACCTCGGGTCAATACGAATGTTGACCGTTTCTCTTTCGAGTGAGCTACGTGAATTCTGTTCTCTATCGTGAGATCGCGCGCGGATAAAGGCCTGCGGTGGTTCTTGCTTGGCCTACCATGTGAATGCCCTCCGATGTCGAAAGGCAAGAGTCGGGCCTAAAGATGCCTACTATAGACCCCAGAACCATGAAACTATGCGCATATCCCTGGCACTACCACCGTCTACCGATAGCGGTCGTGGATGCATTGTCGGTCAAAAAAAAACTCCAAGCCCCCTCACATGTCGTTCCTTCGGCATCCAACATCGCGCAACGGTCGCCTTTCATTACCGCAAAAACAGGTCACCAACTCCGTTTCTCAATGTTCTTGTCCGGTCGACGTGGTCGAGGCCGAGATAGTCGTCATCGTTCGTCGCCACGTTCCACAGCTCGTCATCTGAATAAATATTAGCAAAGCAGGATGATGGTGGCATTGGACGCTCCTACCATCATTGAGGTATTGTGGCTTTGAGAAGTGTGATCTCTTGACCACGGCAAACTTGATCTTCTCGAAACTCTTGCCCTTCAGACCAGTCCGCTTTTCCAGACGCTTCTTGGTATCTGCGAATTTTTCGCCCTGCCCAGTGTTAGTCTTTTGCATCCAATTCGTCGACAGTCCTCGCACGTACCTCGATGAGCATGAATTTGAAAGGAACGCCGTGGACCCTACTCGGCTCGTTCTGGAAATGGAACACCTGAATGAAGTTGCTTGCCTCCTCCTCGTGAATCTCTTCCTCGGGAACCCGCTCCGCAAAGACGTTGGTGTAGTCGTTCATGCTGATAACGGGATATTCGCGTGGCAGTTCGCGGTAAAACTTGTGGCTACTGGTCTCGTACACGCGAATGCGTCCGCCCTCGGTCTCATCAGGAATGCCTGCCTTCTTAATCAAGACCTGGATAAGATCCTCAATGTTGCCGTTCTTGGCAACGAGAAGGTCAAAATGCTCCTGCATCGAGTCAGTATGGCCCAGTCTCTTCACGCCCGCATTGCCACGTACCTCCTTCGTGATGCCTTCGCTGAGCCAGGTGATCTTAACAGTCTTCTTAGTGTCCAGCTCGGCCAAGCTCATGTCCAATACTTCAAAGTAGAAGGCGTCCGTCCGTTGACTTGAGCTCAGCTGGTTGTATCCAGAGGGGTTCAGGATGAGTTGCAAACTTTGGTTGACTCCGCGCTTCACTGTTGTCTTGGGGTTTCCGGTAGCCGAGTTGACGGTCCAGAAGCGGATGTGGGTAGGGTCGACGCCGAGTCTATCACCAACGCGCTCTGCAAGCACATCGTAGCTGATCTTGGAGTTTAGGACGAGCTCGAACGGAGGGAACTTTTCGGGGTTGCAGCGGGTCGGGTGTGCGTGGAACTTGACGGTCTTCTTGTTGTGGAGGAAATCGTAGTACTCCCTCGCGTCGTCGAAGCGGTCAACCTTCTTCGGCGGCTCGTCTGCTGCTTGCTTGTCGCCCAATCCCAAACGCTTCTCGAGGATGTTCCTGTCTCCCTTGCGCTCAGTCGTCTTCTGGAAGCAGATGATATCACCGTCCTGCAGTTCTGCGGCCTTGAGAGACTGCTTCGGCTTCAGGCCCTCGATCATGGTCGGCTTGATTTCCTGCGCAAGTGTTAGTAATGCCTATGAATAGCACATGCAGGTTATCAACGCACCTCCCAGAGGGAAATCTTTTCATCCGACGGTAGCTTATCGCCCCAGCCCATCTTCTTCATAATGATAGGGACCAGCTCTTCAACCTTCTTCTCTTTGCTGATGTAGACGTGGCCAATGCCGTGAAGGGACTGCGCCTCGACGTCGAAGTGCTTGAGGAAGATCAAAATGAGATCGCTCTTCACAACGACGCCGTTCAGCTGTCCTTGGTAGGTCGGCCAGACCGCCTCGCCCTCGGGCGTGATCTCCTCGGCGACCTCGGCCCAGACCCTCAAGAACTGATCACGGTGCGCGGCCGCTCTCTGGAAGCACTCCTCCACTGTTGGACGCAGATCCATGATGGGCTGGTCGGGGCGGATGGTCTTGTTTTGACGGTTGACCATGATCCAGAGACGGACCTTGCGAGGGTCCAGCTCAAGAGATTCCGCAATGGTCGCCACCAACTCTTCCATCGTCGAGGAGCGAAGCACACGGTATGATTTGGGCGCGCCCTCATCTTCGGCATAATCCGCATCGAACGAAGTCAGGTCGGTGCCGCCGTGAGCCTTGAAAGTTTGCTCCGTGATGACCTTGACATAGATGTAAAGGTGCTGCTCCTCCTTCTCCTTGCGTTTGGCCTCTCTGAGAGCGGTCTCCTCGTCGAATTTCGATCGCAGGTGTAGGGGAATGTCCTCTTTGGTGACGGGGCACAGAATGTCGTCCAAACGAGACTGGCGAATGTAAACCAGCATGTAGGCGCTGTTCTGGCGCACGACTGGTGTCTTCTTCTGCAGGGGCGCCCGGGGGTTGCTGGCAGGATGCGTTCGGTATTCCCCACCAAAGTTCTCCTCGAGCACTTCACGCATCGTAGCCTTGGTGACCTTGTCGTCGTCATACTTGTAGAACCATCCGTCCTTCTCGGGCTTCAGGAACGCGTAGTAGTGGCCGGCGTTCAGGTCACCGCTATGGACGAGCACGCCATGGAGCTGATACATCCAGGGCTCCGATTTGTCGGCATCCTCTGCAAGGTACGGCGACGCATCAAAAACCTCAGGGAATTCGTACCGGTCGTTGATCTTCATCATGGTGTCTCGTTGAATGTCGTATTCAAACCGCTTCAGCTGCAGGTGCAGGACATTGGGAAAGCTCTGGAAGATGACTCCCTTGTTGGCATCCTGCAGCTTGAACTCGTCGCCCGCGTAGTACTGGTTCTCACCGTCCATCTTCTCGACCTGAACGTAATCCTTAAAACTGTCAAGCAGGTTCTTGTTGCCGCTGACGTTGAGCTGGATATCCCAGAAGTCTTCGACACGGCTGGACTCGTAGTCGACGTTGACGCAAGAAATGTAAGTTTTTATCTTACCACTGAACATCTCAGGGAGGACGTGCTCAGCCGGAGTGCCCTTCATCTTTTCTTCCATGCGCTCCATCAGCTTTCGCGACAACTCCTGGACGTCCTGCTGTTCAAAGATGTGCCTCGTCTCCCAGCCGAATGACTTGGTCAGCTCGTTGGTTCCGACAGCCTGCTCGGAGGTCTGCAATTGGTAAAAGAGACGTTGCAGAGTGTATGCGCTGTTGCCCATGCTCTCTTCGCTCTGGGTGGGAATTTCGTAGATGGCCTATGGCACGTCAGCACTTGATCTCGTCGCATGGGAGGGATCGATCGTACTTTGCGGAAAGCATTGGTAAAGTACAACGACTGAAGCAGAGAGTTGAGGTAGCAAGTGGCGCCTTGGTTGCGCAGGCCGACGTAGCCCGTCTCCTTCTTGGAATCGTAGTTGTTGAAGTTGTGCCACAGGACGCCCGTCTCGTCCCTGACAACGCGGACGTAGGCAGTGATGTTGGCGGTCTCGTTCTCGCACAGAGGTCGGCTTCCACCCTCCCAGGGCACGTTGAACATCTTCCGAAGCTCGAGGAATCGGGTGAAACCCCAGTCTGACTCCTCCTTGGTGAAACGATGATGCGCTGTGTGATGACTGTATAGGCTCGGGTCGTTGGGGTTCCAGAGGACGAGGGCGAACTGCACGCAGCAGCTCCAGTTTTCAGGAATGTTCGATGGCTCGAAACCGTGCTCGAGGTAGATGGAGCACTGGTCGACGTTATTGCCATGCGGGAAGAGCAGAATGCGCCTAGGGGTGAATGTCAGCGAAGCCATCATAGAAGAAGGCCGCGGGGAGCCATGAGTAGGAGGAAGCTTACCATGGATAGCCACCGGCTTGAAAGACTGGGCCGTGCTCCTTCTTTGACATTGACCTCCATGCTTCAACCGTCCATGTGTTGACTACGTCTTCGACGATTTCGGGCTCATCGTGGAGGGGCGGGAAGATGATCTCCTTCATTGCATCGACTGTCCCGAGTTAGCCGGGTGGGGCAAGGGGCCTGTGGAAGGGACTGGCAATCCTACAGTCGTTTGCCAAAGGCAAATCTTGCAGCTGTTCGGCCTCATTGTCGAGGTTGTCGGGGTTGATGATGGCAATGGGCTCCTTCTCGGGGTCGGCCACGCCGACGTATTCGTCGGTGTCGACTACCATCTCGTTCGGCGAATGAATATCGTTGTTGTAGCTCTGCGGCAGTAGAAGTCTGGATTAGCCAAGGTCGAGGCCTAGTGTAGTGGACGGTAGGAGAAGGGCAACCGGAGAGGGAATGCGTAGAATGGTAGTAGATAGGTTTCGGTCTAGTAGGTAGCTTGGCTCGGTGGAATGGCGGGGTATGGGAAAGTAGGGTGGGTGAAGATGACGGGAAATGAGGAATAGACCAGATGAGAGGGACAGAGAAAGGGTGCAGAGACGAAGCTCAAAAGGCAAGATGCAAGGAAGGAAGACAGGTAGGTGAGAGGGGCAAAATGGCAGCTGTTGTCTCTGAATGTGGTTCGTGGCTTACCATAGTCTACCTGCAGTGGCGTGTGAAAGAAATGGGGGAGCGAGAGCGGATGCCGTTGCCAGTCGGGAAACCACAGCAAAAATGGCGATTTGCGCCAATGCTGCTTCGATGACGAAGTGAAAGCCGCAGCGGCAGGAAGGCAGCAGATGATGGGCGGGCGGGCGGCAGGCTGCGTAGAGGACCCAAGAGCAGCGGGTGCAACGAGCAATGGTGCCTTCTTCAAGACAAGCGTCGGTTGTAGCAAGATTGGTGCAGGTTGGTGGTGAGGAAGAGATCTTGCATGAACAAAAAGACAAGACCAGGAAGGTGGAGGCGGCGGCGGCGGCGACGGCGGCGGCGGGCTGGTCCAAGCAGGTGCACCGTGGGCAATAGTTGCAGTGTATACTCCGTAGCTTGGTCGGTAAAGGCAAGGTGAGGTAAGGGTAAGGCAGGCAAGTCGAGACGGAGCCCGGGTACAAGGCAGGGAGGCAGTCCAGTCAGTCAATCAATCAACGCAGCAAGTCAACAGTCAGTCAGCCCCTGGCTTCCAGTGAATGAGGGTGTGCTATAAGGCGTGATGCACCAGACCGAGCAAATCCAATCGTGGGGAAGAAAAGGTTGGAGACGACGAGTCCAGGTTCGTGGTGAGGCGCAGCACTTCATACGTAGTAGGTAGATGCTGTGCGTGGCATAGTGTAGAGCACCGGCAGAAGTACAGTGGCAGCCACAAGCCAGCAAGGGGGGGAGGAGGAGGAGGAGGAGGAAGACAGCCCGCCCAGATACCTGGTGGGTGAGTGACACCACTGGAGATGGATGGAGTGTGAGAGAAGCATTACCTAACTAGGTACCTACACAAATAGCACAATGGGGGCTTTGACTTGGTCAGGAAGTTTAGGTACTGTCTGTTAGTCAAAGGGTTGGCCATAAGGCGAAAGCCTTAACATAAAGCCCACACGTGGAATCTGTTTCGGAGGCACCAGGGTGTGAGTGCTGGGAGGCCAAGCTGCCCCTGCTCCTCCCCCCCGCTCCCTTCTCATTGGAGAGAACAACGCCCCCCACCCCTCCAATGACGTTGCCGTGGCCGTGACCGCGACCGCCAGGCTCCAGCAGAGCTGCTCCCCTCCTCGAGGCCCTTTCACCTGTCATCTCACCAATGCTTCGTCAGTGTTGCAGTGTAACGTCTTGAGCAGCTGACAAAAGCCTTCCTCCTGTTGACTTGGAGGCCAGTTACCACTGCTATCGATGCAATTAAGCACAAGCCAAATCCCGATAGGGCTATATATCATGAAGCCAAACAACTGGTGGGCATTATTCCAGGAATCTCATTCATCACGCCGTCTGAAACCTAGATCCAGAAATATGGCCTGGGGTTCCAAACCTGACCCTCCCCTATGAGCTGGTCGTCTCACCCTCCACGCCTGTCAACTCTAGTCCGAATATCACCATGCCTTGGTTTTCGGTGACTTTCCTCTCAATAGGGAACCAAGCACTTATGCCGACAAGTAAAAGACACAGCATCCAATGGAATCCGCGGTGCTTTTACTCCGGCAGTACCGCGAAGCATTGAATTCGGCCGAAGTGAGCTTTCCCAGCCGTGACGCCATGCGTCTTAGTCATAGGTTAGTGTGGCTCCATTCATCCGAGGTGCGCGCGTCTCCTCAGCCTGGTCCTGAAGGTGGCCCAAGATAACAAAGGCAACGTGCCGCAATGTCGTGGGACTGGGCTGCAAACGACTCATATGACAAGCTTGGGCGATCGACATGGACTGCGTAAGCTTATATCCAAGTATGAGAGCTCCATATACAACTACCGTCCGATCCGAAGCATTCATTAGCTTATAGCTAAGCTGCCTCATGGCCCTGCCTGGACATGGCAGTGTCCAACGGCGCAGGCTCCCCTCCGTGGCCAAAAGTAAAGTCGGTGACATTCAACACCCCCACTCGATCCAATCAGTAATGCAGATCAACACCGACGCAGAGCTTTATCCCCTGCTACTATGTAAACTAGTCTGCACCTACACTACTGCCGCTCAAATCCCAGCTTTCCAGTAGCCCATGACGCGTTACGGAGATGTGACGCTTCCAGGAAAGCAACTCGATGAAGCTGCGCAGTCTGCACTCCATGCGAATAGCGTGCGGGGCAAAACACTGGGCAAAACACTGGGTTTTACCGCGCCTCCGCAACAACACATGGTTTCGCCTTATCGGGGGGGGGGGGGACATCTGCCCATGGACAGACTATTCAAAGCCCAGGACATGCGGTGCTCTGGCCAATACTGTAGTAGTCTGTATGAACCTCGAGACGGCTGAGATGGATCTGAACTAGGTCGGCCGTACTCCGCAACAATATCCAGCTTGGGTGCTTAGGTGGCTCTGCATGAGGGGTTGGAGGTAAATCTAATTCCGGTACTCTGAAGATTGGACTACCGAGCAACATTGTCACCCTGCCTCGTGCTGCATTGTCTTTGTGAGTATTCCTGGCTCTCTTATCCAGTTGTCAGGAGGGGAGCGTAAGCAGGAGGCGCCCCTGGCGAGCTGCAGAACCCCCAAACGCGTATTTTTCACCCGAGCCTCCCACACACTGCTCTCCTAGTGTCTCCTAGTGCACCTATTTAGTGTATTCCTGACCGAGGAGTCTGTCAACCTTTGCCAACCAGGAAACGCGGGTGGTCCACCAACCGGGCAGACCAGGGGGGGGGGGCGCGGGCGCCTCTCAAAAACGACGCTCCAGCGCACCGCGCTGAAGTGGTGGGGGCTCCGTTCCGCCGACGGGGCCCAGAATACGCCAGGTCGTTTCGGCCGCTGGGGAGGACTGCACGCTGGACTCCTGCCTGGGTTGCCCGTTGCGGCAGTCCGCAGCATGGTGCGCCGATTCCGCAGTGTGGGGTAATTAAATAGACCCTGGTAAGGTAGCTGCCGCCCGACCCTTTTCGGTGCGAGAGTCATCCAATCTGTCGACCGGCCGGCCTCGCCCTCTCGAGAGAGCTTCAAAAGCTACCCAACCCGATGTGAGACGATCCTCCCCCCCAAAATTCGCTCATATAATACCGTCTCTCTCCTCCTACTCCTTGGTCACAGCTCCCTCCCCCCCCCGCAAACTCGATTTTGCGCAAACCCGTTGCCCTCGACTCCACACAGTTTCGCACCTCTCCTCGCATGGAATCGACGGCATGGTTTCCTTCGCATTGCGGCATGCCGGTGGACGATGCGGATTGACATCAGCCTCGAAGAGGACATCGCTGCCCGTGCGTGTCGGCAAGCTACGTGAACGCGGCGTCTCGCCATCGCCATGGCGCTTCATGAGCAGTTCTAACTGGAGACCGGTGTCGGCCCTGGATGAGTGCGCCTCACGCCCTAGCAAAATCGCTGTGCCTTACAGTCACATGCTAACAAACCCTCGTTTCTACCAGATGGGTCGTGAGAGAGGCTCGCCCGATCAGCTTACGACAGCTCATGGTTTTCGGCCGCTCCCTCACGGAATCACGCCTTTTGAGCTCTGCAAACTACGTTCGAACCGAGCTGCCGACTCGGTAAGGGTTTCCCCCTCCACCTTTACGTCACGAGTTTCCACAGGAGTGATATCAGGAATTGACTGTTCGATCCCGTCACAATAGAATAGCGCATCGCATTCGAGATATGCAACAGCTGCCCTACGTTGTAGTTACGAACCCCCACATTAAAGAAGTCTACGAGCTATACAATAATGCGTTCGACACGTTTCGCAAGATCAAGGAGATCAAGAACCTGGAGGACAACGAAAAGTTCTGCCAGATAATCGGCCGTATGCTCAAGGCGCACCTGACCGTCATCCCCAAGCTGTCAATGGGAATCCTCGAGAGCAGAGGCCGTATGGACGCCAAAGACCTCGATAGGTTTATGAACACTATCCTGAGATCGGTGAGTCCCGCTGTTCTGCTGATACCGCCCACCTCGGCAAAACTAACCCGGCCCTTTCTCCCAGAGAATATCCCGTAGGGTCATCGCCGAACAGCACCTAGCCCTGACGGAAACGTATCACTCGCCGTGGTTCTCGCCCGGCGCGAAGCTGTCCGAGTCCGAGTTCATAGGTGAAGTCTTCATCAAGTGCGTCGCCAAGGACGTCATCGAGCGCTGCACCCGCGCTGTCCAGAGCCTCGCCCGCTCGACGTACGGCCAAGACGTAGAGCTCCCCGAGATCAAGGTCGAGGGCCACCTCGAGGCGAGCTTTCCCTTTATCCTCAGCCACCTCGAGTACATCATCGGCGAGCTGCTTCGCAACTCCGTCCAGGCAGTCGTAGAGGGGCGACAGCAGCAGCAGGGTAAGAACAAGGACGCCAAGGTCCCGCCCATCGAGGTGACCATTTGCGAGGCGCAGCAACACGTCATCATCCGCATCTCGGACCAGGGTGGCGGCATCCCTAGAGAGGAGCTGCCGTACCTCTGGTCCTTCAGCAAGGGGCCACAGAGCCAGCGCCGGCTGGAGAACCTGGGTCGGGTGCCCAAGCTGGCCGCCACCATGCAGGAGCTCCACGTGTCGGACGAGCTGGGTCGGGCGGACATGAAGACCCCGAGCCACGGGAGCTCCCTGGCTTCGATGACGACACGGCCACCCGACCTGCGGCTGGGCATGGGGCTTCCCCTGAGCAGGGTCTATGCCGAGTACTGGGCGGGCAGCCTCGAGCTCCACAGTCTCGAGGGCTACGGCGTGGACGCGTTCCTTCAGATATCGAAGCTGGGCAACAAGAATGAGCAGCTGACTACTAGGGCCACGATGGATGCTGTGTAGTGTAGTGTAGACAAACCGTAACAAGGGGCGAGACGGCGTAAATTTTAAAGATACCAACTGGGCGACATCAGGACATCATTGGACAGGCATATATACATGCACACACGAGGCTAGTACTTCGTTACGGACACACATGAAAGATTTAGGATTATAGACGCCTTTCTCATTAATTTTGGTATCATGAAAAGGTGAGCTGGATTACATCGTGACTAAGAAACAGGATAACTAAACGGGGGGGTGGGAAGAAAGGGTGGGGGGCAACAAGTCTTGAAAAAGAAGAAGAGCTCCCAGACGCAACAACGTCCATCTCGTACCGTCCGTGCTTGGGCATGATTTTCTTTCTTTCTTTGCTTTCTCTCGACTTGCGGTGAAGACCCTTGCCCATGTCGACGAGGCGACCAATGAGACAGGGCCACTGCAGTTGGCTAGAAAATAGCATATCCATGAAGACGAATCAAGAAGATAGAGATATTGCGGTGGGTTGGTGCTTCGGATCCCCGATCCCCGATCCCCGAATGGTAAGAGAAGAAGTAAGGTAAGCGTCGAGAATCCAGCAAGCACCCACTGCCCAGGAACAAACCGCTCAAAAATCGAGGGGGGACCGTCACACCCGGATAGCCTTAGCGGCGGCCGTGGCTGCGGACGGCGCTTCCTTGCATCTGCTCCAGCTCGGTTTCCAGCTGCTTGATCTGGGCGTGGGTCTGCTCGAGGTCCTTGTTGAGACGGTCGCGCTCGGCAATGAGCTTCTGCTCCCACTGGCGGAAGCGCTGCTCCTCGATCTTGACCTGCTCGGTGAAACGCTTGCGCAGCGCCTCCTCCTCCTCCTTGAACTTGGGGTTGTCGAGCTTTCTGGGGCGGGCCTCGCCGAACTTACGGGTCTCCATTTGCTGGGCACGGTAGGCCTCGTAGTGCAGCTCCTCGGTGGTGTGGATGAGGTCGAGCATGTGGGTGCGGATGAGGATGGAACGCAGCTTCTTGAAGTCGCAGTGGTCCTCGTTCTCGACTTCGGCAACACCCCAAGAGTACTGGCGACCCTTGACGATGCGGCCGTCGCCGGTCTTGACGTCCTTCTCGGAACCGATGACGGCAAAGGGCATAGCGGCCATCAGGCTGCGAGCGTGCTGGGCAGCGGGCTCATCGTCCTCCTCGACGGGGGGCTGGTAGATCTTGATGCTCTGGGCCTCAATGACAGCACGGATCTGTAGCACGGTGCGGTCAGCAAATGTTTGTTTACACGGCTTGGAAGCGAAATCGGCTTACGCGAGCCTTAAACCTGGCCAGGTCCGCAGGGCTAAGGGTATCAGCCTTGGCGATGACGGGGATCAAGTTCACCCTCGAGCAGAGTCTCTTCATGACCTCGATGTCGAGGGGCTTCAGGGTGTGGCCGGTGGGGCGGATGAAGTACAGGCAGGTGTGGACACGCAGGTCGATCTTGTCCTGGCGACGAGGCTGCTGCTCCTGGAGCATGTAAGACTCGTGCTGGTCGTCGAGGAACTCGATGATGGGCATCCACGAGTCGCGGTTGTTGACGTAGTCGCCGAAGCCGGGGGTGTCGATGACGGTCAGGCGGACTGTAAGCCGTGTTAATCGCATGATCCACACATCGGTGATCGGAACAGCACGGCAACATACCCTTGAAGAACTTCTCCTCCAACTCAGCCTTGGTGATTTCGATCTCAACCGTCTTGTCGACCTGCTTCTGGTGACGGCGCTTGTGGTCGGCATAGTTCTTGATGGTCGTCGAGAAGAGGGTGTTGATGAAGGTGGTCTTTCCCAGGCCGGACTCGCCCGCAACCTGGTTATTGTTTCAGTCATTTCTGCTCGGATAAAACATGTGCTTTATACTGCACCAGAGTCGACATACCATAATAGTGAAGGCGGCACCTCGCTTGGCAACAATCTTGTGTCGCTGGTTAGGGAGGTTGGCGATACCAATCGGTGAGGCGCTCTCGGCGGCGGAAGGGGCCATTTTGGGCGGTATTTGACGATGGAACAAATCAGAGAACGTTTGTGATGCCTGGGAAAGGGTCGTGGGCCGCGGGTATCGCAATTGAGCACGCGAACTGTTTTCGTGATGTGGTTGCGGTGTGGGCGTGTTGACTGTTGAGTTGGGGAGGTTTCGAGCTCGTGCTTCAGGGGAATCAAAAGGTGCCACCTCCAAATTTCCCTGGCCGGACTTCTGGGGTTAGGAGGTGTGCATTCATTGGGCCAGTCGCAGGGGACTAATTAGGATCCCCTTTTCCTTCCAATCAGACCCCTTTTGCCCCCTGGCGCTTCCATCAGATGCACGTCTAGCCCAAAGCGTGTTAGCGCCGACAAGCCTAGGTGAGGATGAATGATTCGCCGACCCCACCACAATCGATAAGAATTATTCGAGGTACCTTGGTAGGTACATCCGGATTTTTTTTTTCGGCAGCGATTCCAAGGTCAGGAAATGGGTGCCAATTGACAATGAAGACCGATTTCAAGGTACGTTTCGTGCATTCTCCGGCGAGCGCGTGCGGTTTCTGACTCTGGGTGCAATTCATAGTTCTCCAATTTGCTCGGCACGGTATACTGCCAGGGCAACCTGCTCTTCAGCCCCGATGGCACCCATCTGTTCTCGCCCGTGGGGAACAGGGTCACTGTCTTCGACCTCGTGAAGTATGCTCCTCTCTCTCGCGCGTGCCGGCGGCGGCTGGGGGTCTTTGTTTGCTAACACGCCGCTCCAGCAACAAGTCACACACACTGCCCTTTGCGCATCGAAAGAACATCTCCCGAATCGGCCTTACTCCTCGAGGCAATCTGCTGCTGTCTATTGACGAAGATGGCCAGGCCATTCTGACCAACGTCCTCCGCCGGATCGCCATTTACCGATTCTCGTTCCGCTCCTCCGTCACCGCTCTCTCCTTCTCGCCCTCCGGGCGTCACTTCGCAGTCGGCCTGGGTCGCAAGATCGAGGTCTGGCATGTGCCGTCCACCCCGGACGCGAACGCCGAGGGCGAGCTCGAGTTTGCGCCCTTCGTTAAATACCACACCCACACTCAGCACTTCGACGACGTGCGCAGCATCGAGTGGTCCAGCGACTCGCGGTTCTTCCTCAGCACCTCCAAGGACTTGACGGCAAGGATATGGAGCTTGAACCAGGAGGAGGGGTTCGTGCCGACGGTGCTCTCCGGCCACAAGCAAGCCGTGGTGGGGGCGTGGTTTTCCGAGGACCAGGAGACAATCTACACCGTGAGCAAGGATGGCGCCGTGTTTGACTGGAAATACGTCGGAAAGCCGGTCCGCGACGAGGACGAGATGGTCGACGTCGACGAGGACGACATGCGCTGGAGGATCGTCGACCGACACTACTTCATGCAGAACAGCGCGCACGTCCGATGCGCAACCTTCCACCCCGAGTCCAACCTTCTGGTTGCCGGTTTCTCCAACGGCACCTTTGGCCTGTACGAAATGCCCGACTTCAACATGATCCACACGCTCAACATCTCGCAAAACGAGATTGACTTTGTGACGATCAACAAGAGCGGAGAGTGGCTGGCGTTCGGCGCATCGAAGCTCGGGCAGCTGCTGGTGTGGGAATGGCAGTCCGAGTCGTACATCCTCAAGCAGCAGGGCCACTTCGACTCCATGAACAACCTGGTCTATTCCCCGGACGGACAGCGCATCGTCACCATCGCAGATGACGGCAAGATCAAGGTGTGGGATACCGAATCAGGGTTCTGCATCGTCACTTTCACCGAGCACACAAGCGGCGTGACAGCCTGCGAGTTCTCCAAAAAGGGCAACGTCCTCTTCACATCCAGTCTGGACGGTTCGGTAAGAGCGTGGGACCTCATCCGATACAGAAACTTCCGGACGTTCACGGCGCCGACAAGGTTATCATGGTCGTGCATGGCCGTCGACCCCAGTGGCGAGGTTGTCGCCGCCGGGTCTCTGGACTCATTCGACATCCACATCTGGTCTGTGCAAACAGGACAGCTTTTGGACCAGCTCACCGGCCATGAGGGCCCGGTCTCGGCCCTGGCCTTCACGCCGAACGGAGACTCTCTCATCAGCGGCAGTTGGGACCGCACCGCAAGGATCTGGTCCATTTTCAACAGGACACAGACCAGCGAGCCTCTGCAGCTGCAGGCCGACATCCTCGACATCGCCGTGCGGCCCGACTCGCTGCAGCTGGCCATCTCGACGCTGGACGGCCAGCTGTCCTTCTGGTCGATCACGGATGCCGAGCAGGTGTCGGGCCTGGACGGCCGCCGCGACGTCTCTGGCGGACGCAAGATCACCGACCGGAGGACGGCGGCCAACGTGGCGGGGACGAAGAGCTACAACACCATCCGGTACAGCACGGACGGGAGCTGCCTGCTCGCCGGCGGCAACAGCAAGTACATCTGCTTGTACTCGGTGCACACCATGGTCCTCCTGAAAAAGTACACAGTCAGCGTCAACCTGTCCCTGTCCGGGACGCAGGAGTTCCTCAACAGCAAGCTCCTCACCGAGGCCGGCCCCGAAGGCCTGATCGACGACCAGGGCGAGGCCTCGGACCCCGAGGACAGGAGAGACCTCACCCTGCCGGGCTCGAAGCGCGGCGACCCCTCGGCGAGGAAGAAGGTGCCGGAGGTCCGCGTCTCGGGCGTGGCCTTCTCGCCCACGGGCACCGCGTTCTGCGCCGCCTCCACCGAGGGCCTGCTCATCTACAGCCTCGACAACCTGCTGCAGTTCGACCCCTTCGACCTCAACATGGAGATCACGCCCGCGTCCACGCTCGCGGTGCTCGAGAACGAAAGGGACTACCTCAAGGCGCTGGTCATGGCCTTCCGCCTCAACGAGGCCGGCCTCGTCAAGCGCGTCTTCCTGTCGGTACCGCACACGGACATCGCGCTCGTCGTCGAGGACATGCCCGTCGTCTACGTGCCCAGGCTGCTGCGCTTCGTCGCCGCGCAGACGGAGGAGACGCCGCACATCGAGTTCTGCCTGCTCTGGGTCAAGGCGCTGGTGGACAAGCACGGCGCCTGGCTCACGCAGCACCGCAGCAAGGTCGACGTCGAGCTGAGGGTCGTCTCGAGGGCCGTGTCGAGGATGCGCGACGAGATCAGGAGGCTGGCCGACGACAACGTCTACATGGTGGATTACCTGCTGGGCCAGGCCAACGACAAGAAGGAGGCGGAGGGTGGCGTAAAAATGCTCGATCTGGCCGCCTTCGATCACCCCGCAAAGACGCTGGCTATCGGGGATGCGGACGAGGAGGGCCAGAGTGACTCTGATGGAGATGGATGGGTTGGTCTGGACTAGGGATCCCATAGATATTATTACAATGTATACCCCCGTTTTGTCAATATTTACTCGCCCGCCTGCCCTCAATTGCGTGCGCTCCTTTTTCACAATCTTGGACCCGTCCCGGCAGCACCGCCGGCTAGTCAATCGCGAGCGGGAATGTCCTAGGAAATGGTTAGACAACGGCGAGCGGACCCCTCCCCCGGCGCGCAAAAGGGCAGTAGGAGAAATCTCTACTTACCTTCCACGCCTCATCGAAACCGGCGGAGCGGACCCATCTCGTCTCGGAGTGCTCCGTCCCGTCCAGCAGCATGTAGGACAGGCGGAGCCACTCGTCGTCGCCCTTGATCCTGATCCACGGCCTGTCGCTGTACCGGGACGACAGCTCCTGGCAGATGCCGAGGGCGCGCGCAACCTTGATCGTGTGGCCGTCGTCGGGGATGGCGTGAAATCTCGGGAGGAGGTCTGCATACACTCTGTCAGCGGTTCTGTTCTCACGAGCTCACAAGGCGCGGACGTCTTCGGAGGGGGGCATTGCTGTTGTCATCGGGCGTTTTTTTTCTTCTTTTTACCTGACGGCTTGGAAACCAGCTCTCTGCCCTGGTCCTTGTCCCTCGGTCGGTACGACCTGACTTCGTCCAGGCGGAGTTGCGGGCAGCCGCGCGCCGCGTACTGGACGAGGTCCATGCGGATTTTATGCTCCAGCAGACGGACCTTGTTCTCCGTCGAGACCCACGGCTTGGAATTGAAGCTCAGGAAGATGGGCGCCGCGTTTGTGTGGTGGCTGCGAACATGTCAGTCGGTCGTCTCCGGCCAGGACGCTCCGGGGAGAAGGGAGTGCTCACATCAGGAAGAAGTCCCACTTCGCCTCCTTTCCCGGGTGGAGGGCCGCGCCGCCGGCGACGTAGAAGGCGGTGTGGAACATCTCGGCCGTCCGCTCGTCCAGCTCTTCGGGCAGGACCTTGACCTTGCTGGCGACGCCCATCATCTCCTCGGGCGCGCGGTTCATGACGCCGTTAATGATCTTGTTCGCGTCCGTCATCTCCGCCGCCGTGGCCAGCTTCCGCTTACCCCGTATCTCGTCGATGAGGTCCGCGATGCGCGGCATCGGCGTCTTTGCCATCTCGTTCGCGCGCCTCTCCGTCTCGTCGAAGAAGCCCTTGAGCTGGTCCTTGTGCACGGCGGCCTGGGCCAGGCCCTCGGCGACGATGGCGGGCTGCTCCCACTCGACGCCGTACATGAGCTGGATGATGGGGTGCAGGAAGCCTCCGAACATGCGCCGGAACAAGTCGTCCGCGCGCTCGTCGCCCTTGAAGAGGTGCACGTTCAGCGCCGCCTCCCAGCCCAGCCTCTCGATCTCGCGCTGGTAGAAGAGGAGGAAGTCGGAGTAGTGCTTCTCCCGGCCCAGGTACTTCTGGGCCTTTTCCCAGTCGTGCAGCTCCTCGACGACACTGTCGTGGCTCTCCTTGGCCGGCCTCTGGTAGTTTGCGTTTCCGTCGTACGCCTTCTGGATGGCATCCGGACCCGCGCCGGTGCCGTAGAGTGCCAGGACGTGGTGAGGGATCTGGGCTGCGCTTAGAGACTCGGCCCCGCCGGTGCGTAGCGCCTACGTGGACTTACATGGTTGTGGAAGCCCTCCTGGTTGAAGAAGACGTGGTGCTTCTGTCTCGGACGGTCAGTGTGCCTATCCGTCGCAACGAGCTCGGTTGGAATGGGACCCCACCTTCAGATCCTCCTGCAAAAGCTCCGAGACCTTGTTCGCAGTGGCGTCTTGCTGTTTGAACCGCCACAGCCCTGTGTTTGTCACCGGGACACGAATCTTGTATGCGGTCGCCATGTTGATGCTTCTCGTCTGGCCGAATGAAAAGGGGTCTCTTCCACTGAGAATGGGGTGCTTTGAGATTCGTCTAGAGGCGGATGACGACAATCTCATTTCGCTGCAAATAAGCATCAGAGTTGCATGCCAGGGACGCGGGCCGTTGTTGATCTTATGTATTGAGGGCGGGGGGAGGGGCGTTTGCAATTAAGACTTGGGTTTGCAGCTGTGACACACACGAGAGGGCGAGAGAGAGCGCGAGCGTGCCGTGATGGAGATCGGACGCCTGCCTGAATGGTGCCTTGGCGCGGGTAAGCGGTGCTAGTGGGCTCCCGGCGTGGAGTCCGTGATGCGCGCCACTGAACTTTGTCATTTCCCCAGGATACGGACGTCATCCAGCGCTAGAGACCGGCCTACGGCGCCACATGTTCGGGTACAGGCCGAATGCCAAGACCGAATGGCAGGGCGAGAGGCTGCAACTGCTAGTCAACGTCCTACTACCCGATCGCGTTGTATTGACACCTTAGTCCTATTACCCACATGTAGCTGTAAACCTTAAGTACATTGAATGTGACAACAACAGATGCGCCAAGTCGCGGCAAGGAACGGTGGACGATGATCCGGTACTGTGCTATAGCTACTCGAGTTGGAATAGATACTTGAGTGTGTGCCGCCGCTTTTCTTGGCTACTTTCGTTTGCAGTTGGCAGGCGGCAGGGCTTGGCGAGGCTTGACAGCTTCCGGTGACATGCTTACTGTCTTCAGCTGCAGTTGACATATCGGTCGGATAAATGGTCTAGTCGACTGTACTCGACGCGCAGAGCAGAGTGTTGTTCATAAAGCAAAAATTCGCGGCTTCACAAGAAACGCCCGAATACAGAGCAAGAATGGAGTGGCAGGTGACCCCAACCTGAAGCCGGCAAGCAAGGAACGAAGAACGGACGGAGCGGGTCCAAGTGCCGACCCTGAGCTTAAGCTCAATTATCCCGGGTATGGATGCCAGTCATCGTCCCCCCCTCCCCAACTATTTAACATTCTCCTTGGCCTGCGAAAACGCAAACCAGAATGTGCCTGGTGCCCGGTTGGCACCACTCATCGCGGGTTAACAAGGCCCATCATGGGCCAGCCCTCCAAAAGCCAGTCAGGGACCACACGCCAACGGCCATGTCTCTCGTGCGCATGGCCAACCGCAGCCCCAAACGACAGGTTTCGCGACGACACGTTCACAATGGGCTGGGTGCCAGACCCGGCGCGTCGTGTCTCCAGTGCACCTTGAGAGTCTCAGCCAGACGACCTCAAGCTCGGCAGGAACGCAGACAGTAAGATCTGAACACTGGCGTCTTCATGACCCGTGTGAGTGAGCTCTGCGTGTCGGCGGTCGTAGACTCGGGATGCGGTGTCACGATGCAAGTATTGGGATGAAGATAAGTGTTTATGACAAAAACAAAAAAAAAGGAGTTTTGCATTGAAAGCTTCCCCTATCCAGGGAATTAATCGTGGTATCACCAGGAATTTTATATCTAAGAGGGGGGGTAAAAAGGCGAGGGAAATGGGGGAAAATGGGCGTCTCATCGTAATGGTTCTTCATCTAAGCCTTGCGCTTCTTGTTGGGGGTGGTCTCATCGGCGTCGCCCATCTCCTCGTCCTCGTCATCCTCGTCGTCCTCGTCGTCCTCGTCGCCCTCGTCATCGGACTCGAACTCGGCATCGGACATCTCGGCGGCCTCCTGGGCTTGGGCTATCAAGGAGAGTAAGTCTCTGTCTTGCCCTTGGGCGTCGGCGGCGCGCGCGCGGAGAGACTTACTGAAGTAGTGGAGCGCCTCGGGCCACAGGTCGGTGGCGATGGCGACGGCGATGTCGTCGCCGTCGGGGCAGATCTCGAGCTCGAACTGGACCTGGTCCTTGGCCTCCTCCTCCTTGTCATCCTCCTCTTCGTCCGTCTTCTTGCCCTCCTTGCGGGCCTGAAGGTCGGCAAGCTCCTTGGCGAGGACGGCGGCGCTCTCCTCAGGGGAGATGCGCTTGCCGACGAAGCCGAAGAAGGTGAAGAAGGAGACACCGCCCATGCCCGTCTCTTCGACCTTGCTCTTGAGAGCCTCGGCCTCGGGGGTCAGATTTCCGGGGGTGATAGGGCCCTGGTCATAGACCTTCTTGGCGAGGGACAGGAGGCCCTCGGTGAGGTCCTTGCCGTCCTTCCACTTGATGTCGACGGGCTCCGAGACGAGGCCGGAATAGGACTTGGAGTGGCGGTACCAGAAGGTCTTCTCAACGACGGTGTCCTCAAAGTACTCGTTCTCGTTGAACTCGAAGCGGATGGTCAGGCTGCGAGGGTCGCCGTTGGCCTGGCCGTTGTCGATCTCGGGGCGCGAGACGGCGACGTTCTTCAGGGAGGAGAGGAGCAGGGCAGCGTCGGAGGGCTGGATGTGCTCGTCGATCTCGGCGGGGGACTGCTCAAAGACGAGGGCCCAGAAGTTGGGGATCTTGGAGATGACGGCAGCGCGCTTCTCGTACAGAGGCTTGGAGAGCTCGTACTGCTTGCGGACTGGGTAGGATGTTAGCGTCGGTGAAGTTTTCCTCACAGGGGATCACATCCGAGGTGGATTGGAAGGTGAGAGGGATTGCTCCTCGTCAAACAAGTCCAATACGTACCAATCTGGTTCTCAACCTCCTCGAACTCGCGCTCGAGGTCGGCGAGCTGCTCGTAGGTGACACCGGTATCAACCATCTCAACCATTTTGGCGGTAGTGTGAGTGAAGGGGGGAGAAGTTGTAAGGGATTGGAAGTGATGAAGAAGGGAGAATCTCGAGGTAAATTTTCCTGAGATTTCACTTTCTTCGTTGGTGGGGTTGTAATTGGCTTTGGGGACGCAAAAGATGAAATGACGACGGACGGAATGAGTGCCTCACCCCGAGGGAAGTCTCTTATATAAGGAAGATACCACCGGGACGTGCTTAGCAAATATGTTCCCAATATTTTTTGTTTTTATTTTCCTTAAGTGGAAGCGGGAGGGGGGAGGGGAGAGAAAATCTGTGTGAACAGGATCGAGGGGAGAGAGAGAGAGAGGGAAAAAAAAAAAGGGACCGCGTTACTCAGGGACGTGTGGTAATGGAAGGCGACTGGCTGTTCTGCGACGGATACCAACAGAGGCAACGAGGAAGAGAAAAAAAAATTGACAAAAATTTCTAAACTGGCACAAGCTCCGTCCGGTCTGCCTGCACCAATCTGCACGTCTGGTTCAGCCTACTGCCTGCAACCGGTGTGTGTGCGTGTGCTATAACCAGCTTCAAGGTTTAGAGCGGTGACTGATGTCATTGGATCGTCCCTGCTGATCGCGAACTTTTCAGAATGCCCCTCCACCCCCTCCCCTCCCCACCCCACCCCACCCCACCCCCGGTTCAGTCAACTACCACCCATCAGCACTGCAGCGCAGCCCAGGAATTGCCATCACATTGGAGCGACAACTGGACACTGAACGCAGAATTATGGCGGGGCAGCGGCCGGACTGGTCGCCCCTCGTGCATGGGTTGAGTTTTGTGTAATGCACCAATTCACGGAACCTGAGCCCCGATCAGAAATTAACTCTTCCAAATTCTTCCTTTGAAGTAGGGAGAAGCCATCTCGTGCCCCTCTCCCCTTAAGAGGCGTGCTTCTCACTAATACGACTCGACTTGACGACTCTCTTTGACCTTGGCCCGTTAGGTTCATCCTCGACGCTGAAGAGAAATTAGGGGTCCTGGATGATCGGGAGGGGTCAAGGGGCGCTTGATGGAGCCCATCTTCCAAGTTGTCGACATTTCCGTCAAGGGCGGGGACGGGAAAAAAATTACCTTCCTCCACGACTCGACCTCTCAGTCCCCCCTCCCCACCTCGCAAATTTGCCAGATGGTGGCCTAGATCAGTGACATTGCTCCAGCGCCGATGGGGCCTGACGAAAGATTTTCCCATTGCCTCTTCCCCCCTCTCCAAAGGTTGGTACATATACAAGGCGGTCCCTCTTAGGCGACAACTGCCCTGGTACCCGCTCGTCCAAGACTGGGAGTCCGCTGTTAGCGTTTTTCATGCAGAGGCTCTCCCAATCTCTTTGGCTGCCTAATGGCCTCCATTGACTTTTTTTTCCGATGTTTTTTTATGACCAACCTCGATCCACTGAGGGGTCGGTCCAGCGTGGCTGCCCCTCAGTCATTGTTGTTATTGTTGTTGTTGTTGTTGTTGTTGTTTTTCTCTCTGCCTCATACATTGTTGTTTACTGTCACCGTTCCGTATCTGTCTCTGTATTGGTTTTTGACAATGCTCGTTGAACATCTTCTCCAAGTTTTGGTGTATCGAAGCCCAATGCGTCAAGTGATGTCTTCGTCCAGTTGGTGCATATACCCCCTCCCCCCGGGCGGCGTAGCCTGTGTGTGTGTGTGTGGTGTGCATGTGTGTGGTCTTGACGCTTCACCATCCAGTCCCAGCCAAAGAAGTGCATTGAGAGAAACCCATGCGCGAGAATCGCCAATCTCAGACCACTGGCATGATTGGCGTCCCCTCCGAGCTCCTTCACGAAACCCAGGCCGAGGAGGGCCCGCGGTTGCACCGCCAACGACATCCGCTCGCGGGATGTCACCGCTGACAACTTCACGGCGGCATAATCGTGCAAAAAGGAAAGGAGAAGGGGGAGGGGGGGAAACTAAAGAAAACCCAGTGACCAGCAAGACCCAGGCAGCCCGGTGCCCGGGAGACGCCTGCAACACCCTGCCCGCTCACCACCGTTTGCGGGAGACGCTTACGGAATGTCCGGCGCCTAGACGCATTCCTTTCTCTCTCGGCGGTCGAAGAATGAAGAGGGGAAAAAAAGACGAAGAAAAAACCCTGCTTAGCGCCGGCGGGAAAAGGATAACTCCTGCGCGTCGCGGACCCTAGGCTCCGGTGCGTCCCCCTCCACCCCCTCCCTCCGCCCGTCGTCGCCGGACACCTATGCATGGACACTCGGCCCCGCCCCGATCCCCGTGCGCGACCCACAATGGGTCCGGACACCGAACGAACTCTCGCCGGACCGGAGCCCAGATGGTGGTGCCCATTCCCCGTTTTCCGCCGGCCCGATCAACGTCTCTCGCACTGTACACGTCGAAAGGGCCGTACCTACCTCGAATCGGCAGAGTTTCCACCTTCTTCCCCCTATCCTGGGATCCCGTCACTTGCGAGACTAGTGCCGCAGTTTCGGATGGATGTCGTCGCCCCACCCCCCCGCCCACCACCGGGACTTAGGTAGGTAAGCGGCACCAGCCGCTCCATGCCATGCTCGCCTTCGTGTCCCTAGACAAGGTTCGCAATCAAGATGCGCCTGTACATGAGATCACACGCGCATGGTAAACGCAGACACATGAGAGACTTGCTTGTGGGAAAAACTAAAAACTATATCCGTGCGAAGAGATCACAGTCATGCCGTGGCTTCCACGCGAGCCGTATTCCCGTCGCTTTTACAATTACCCTCGTGGGCTTTGACTACTATTGCTTGCGCAGTCCTGATGTTGACCCTTTGTCTTTTGAAGACTATGCAACGCCTCCCAAAATACAGACCCCCCGCTCCATACAGCAATAACGGCTTGATTCGAGTCCAAACTCACCAGCCCGGACACATAAGTCGTCCCAGTAACCATGCTCACAGAGACAGGGAGACAGGTTTGGAGGCGGGGTGAGGGGGGGAACGGAAAACAGAGAGTGGAAATCCGAGAAGATGGTCGGGTTTCCATGGCCTCTGTACTCTACCAATCGTCGGGGTATATCAAAAAGCCCAAATAAGCAACGCAAATCGCCGGCATAAAATCTTTCAAACAAGTAATGCAGGTCACCCTTTTGGCAACCGGCTACCACGTTATCTGGGTAACCCTAGACCGCATGTCTGGCATGCCGGTAATGATGCCTCGAGTACCAACCTGCAGGCTGGCGAACCTAGCTCTGAGGTCGAAGTCTACCGCCCGAACCATGACGCGCTTTTCCTCCGGGACGGACCGTTTCGTTTTGTACTGGCCAGGGATGACGCTGTCCCTTCGCACATCCCAGCGAGCGTTGCCGCCGGGCCCCAGAGGGGTGCCCTCGCCGAAATCTACCGACCCCCGCTTCACATTGCCATTTGCCAAGCTGGCCGGCGACTCGGGCGATGGCGCCGACCTATCCTCCTCTTCCTCGATTGCTGTAACCCACTGTCCGATGCGTGCCGTAAGCTCGCTATCCCACATACCCTCCCGACGGGCGCTACTCCTGAGAAGCTGAATGGCCTGCCGTCGAATAACTGGATGACGGCATTTGGTCGCAACCACGAACAAGGGCGGTACGATGCCCAGGTCGGCACTAAAGCTTGGCTTGATGTGGTAAGTGTTGTACTCGTGGCCACCGAAGATGTCGGGCGTATGATTGTGTCGGTGGGGGCACTGGTTAGGGTTGGGACACCTCTTGACCGCCGCGCGTCTTTCCTCGTCACCCACCACCTCGGAGGCAAGGTCGACAATGGCCTTGAAGTGGGACTGGAACACGTCGAACTGCGACTCGCTGTCGCTGTATGTCATGAGGAACAGGATTTGGCTCATGATTTGGAACATTTTCAGGACCGCAATGCCCGCTTTCTCCTGGAAACTGACACCCGGGGCTGTGCGAGACTCGAGGAGGTAGTCGAAGGCCTCGGACCATGCGTCCAGCTGTCCTTTGAAGCTCATTCCGTATTGCTTGAGGGATTTCGGCAGGATGCCCATCGGGCCGTTTGCGCCCGTGGATTTCTGGTAGACGAACAAGGTTTCCGTGAAGCGAAACATTTTCTCGAGCAGCTTGTCCCAGGCGATGCGGGCCTCCATCAGATTGGAGAACTGGTCAGGCACCGAGACCGAGCTCGTGGTTGACGGCGAGCTGCCGGCGTCCGAGGGTGGCGATTGGGGGAGCTCGGGAGTTTGCGGGGTCAGTCTGATCACGTAAGGCTCGGGGAAATGGAAGGCCATGTCGTACGACTTGGCCTGGATGGCAAGTCTGGTGAACATGGTGATGAGCTCCTCCTCGACGGGTTCCTCGGAAATGGGCAAAAACGACCTTCTCCTCTCCTCCCTGAGCTTCTCCAACAAGCCGAGGCCGGTTTGAATCTGTAGTATCGCCTGCCTGTGGTCGCCGACGAAGGAATCAAAGCAGGCGAGAAGCACGCTGGCCATGAGCAGCGTCCGATGGGACTTCTGGTCCTGGCGGAGGTGGACAAGTGCGTTGATGGCCTCCGAGTACTGTTTTACCGCCACTTCCCAGTGCCGGTTTGCTCTGTCCACGGGACTCATCAACTCGGACGGCGAGCCCGGCGGGGACTCGTGCGTCTGTTCAAGGGTCTTGTAGAGGGCTCCGAGCGCGACAACGGCGTGGCGGATGGCGTTTTCGGAGTGGCATTCTTGCAAGACGGTCCGAGTCCAGAAGACCGAGTCAAAGTAGCCGGAGAGTTCGTTGGCGGTGTGGGAGCGGAAGAGTTGGAAGTAAAGGCCTTCCTGCGGTGTCAGTTGGAGGTTGTTCGCCGGCCGATACCAGGTAACCATGGAAGGGGGGGCCGGGGTTTGCGGGGGCGTCAGACGGCGAGCCTGCAATTTTTGTTGCCTTCTGGGAGGCAGCCCCTCGATCGAGGACGTCCGCAGAGGTGCAACAACACCATCATGGGCGGGAGCGAGGGGTTTTGGAGCAATGGCGAGGACCTCGTGGGGTCTTGCGCTGCGGCTGGGAGGCGGGTAGCCGGCGCAGGTCTTCTTGGAACGGATGCACTGGGAGCAAGACGGCCGTTTCTCGTCGCATTTGATGCGCCGCTGCCTACACGGAACATGTCAGGGTCTGCCCTGCAAGGAGCTCGTAGCGGAATACGTTACGTACTTGCAATTGTTGCATCCCGTCTTGACTTTCGGTTTACTGGTCCTGGCCCTCTTTGGCTTCTGCTGAGAGTCGAAGGAACCGGTTGGGCTCGTGGATGCTGACGAGCTGGCGTCGGTGTTGTTGTAGGACGGCATTGTCGAGGTGTACACGGTGAAGTCTATGTAGGCGAAGCGAGAGCTCCATACGCATTCATCGCCTGCGGCTTTGAATCGCACAGGCCTTTATATTTCGGACGACGACGACGGTATTCGTGCTGTCGCTTTTGGACAAATCCGAAGGAGCAGAACAATTTGGCCACAATGCAGGGGGAAGTCTTAATTAGTGGGTGGTGTAGAGACGATAGTGCGGAGACGGGTAGTTAAGGGCCGGCGCGATGACAGGTGGTCTGTGAACTCTGCGGTTAGATAGGGTAGCCATGGGTTGGCCTCGGCAAGGTTGGGGGGGGATCTGCTCGAGAAACGGGGGGAGGGGATGGGATCCCCCAGCTCAAGCAAGCTCTGTCTGAGCTCCAGTACTTACATGATTGAAGCGGTAGTAAAGGCGAAGAAAGAGTGGGCTGGGGTGTACAGATGTGGGTGGAGAAAAACCGCCACAGCCTAGTGTACGGATACAGGGCCTTCTTTATGAACGTTTGTTGACTAAAACCGCGGCAAGTCGGCAAGGAGTAGCGACGGCTTAATCTCGATTAGGGCAATGATGTAAAGATTTATTTGGGGGTCGGGTCGGTGCTGTCTATGCGGGATGGGAAAAATGTTGGGCAGCTTCACAACGGCAAGTGGCCTGGGGGCCGCAAGAGACGGGTGAAAGAGTAATATAGGGCTGGCGGATGGCGTGAGTATGGTACTGGGCATCCGTAGGTGCATGGGGCGGCGAAACAATAGATTGACCCACAAGAGCCAGGGGGAGGAAGGGGGGGGGAGGTTCTGGGAAGCTAGAGGGGGCTTGCAATGAGCAGCAGGATGCAGGCGTGAACCGGGATGTTTGTCGATTGTGGTGTGTGTGGTACGAGGCGGTGCGATGGTGATGGTGGAGGGGACGGCGGCGGTTCATAGGTAGGTAGGACGAGTGAGGGATACGTTGCTGTGCTGCACTGCGCTGCATGCAGGCCTCCAAGGTCGATTTGGCATGTACCGGAGGGCAGGCTGACGTGGGGAGCATCGGAGAGGGCGACCAAGGGTAAGAAGAGGGGGGGCAGCGATCAGAAAATATCTGATGATGTTGCTTACAGTGGTGACGGCGAGTTCGATATTCGAGTGCAGGAGAGGTTACAGGGGAAGCAATTGTGCAGTCGGATGGCAGGTGCCGCGAGCTACACTACCATCCGGTAAACCAGAACGAATCACATTCAAGGTAGCCAAAAAGAAAACAAAAGAGAGGGAGAGAGTATGGAGTGTTGTGGTGCGTAAAGTAAATGTAACCGATGGAGGCGGACGGATGGCATCGCGACTCGGGGACCAGCCTGTCAGTGTTGTTGTGCGTTGCGGTATGCACAACCAAGGGGGAGAATGAAGAGACGGTCGAACAGAAGTGAACCGTCTCTCTTGACTGATACAGACGAGCAAAAGATATAAGGGGCAATACCAAACGAAGCAAGCATCTCTAGGGTACGCGCCGTACCTAGGGACGTTCACTCACTAGATAGGTACCTACCTACTTTAGGGAACTTTGCTCCGGTGGGCATGGTGGAGAAACGGCAACGCGACGCCTTGTCTTGTCTTAGCCGACCTGGAAGGTTTCTTCGAGCATTTCTAGCATGGGAGAGACGCTAGAGATTGTTGAGTCTGATGGTACAAGCATTCCGTTCTGCTAGACAAGAGTTGGGCACGAGCAAAAATTGACGTCCCACAAGAAGAAGCTTCTGATCAGTTAGTTGTACCGGGTTCGTTCCTAATGCAACGCGACACCGGCCGTCAAATGCCTCTGGACCAGCTTGCATTGGACGCTACTGTATCCGTACCGTACGCCGGCAGGTACCTCCTGCTGCTGGCCGAGTACACGCAGTGCAGGGGTGTGTCAAGTACCTGGTTGGTTATTCATGTTTAGTCATTCATGCCTATGCCTGCCTAGGTAGGTAGGTTTGTCTCGATCAAATCACTGGCACTGATTGCTCTTTCCGCTCTCATCGTTGTACCTCGCCGCCTTCCATGTGTGCAACCGGTTTGAAGAACATGTCTCTTTGCCTTGTCGGCACAAAGCAGAGAAAGAAGCAACGGAATTGTCTGAGGTTAGTCGAGCGGAAAGCCCAAACAACCAAAGCCTGATGGGGTTCGGCACCACAAGAAGCGGGGCACAATGCCGGTACGACACCCTGTCGTCGAGTATCGTGGTGTTTTTATTGTTTTTATATCATTCATTATTCAAAAACTAGAACCGAAATAAAGCATAAACGTAAGAGAAAGAATGTGAGAGAGCTCGGCGCCGGTGGCCCTCCTCAGCATGTCCCGGTTGCGCCAGCCCCTGTCCTTATGCGTTGCATCTACGGAGTACCGAAGTAGGTAGTGTGCTGCGTTATGTGTTTTCTGTGTGCTACCCATGTATACGTAGATGCACTCCAAATCTCCAGCCTGCATCCCCTCCCCTCCCCTCCCCTTCCCTATGCCATTTTGCAACTGTCCCTGCGGTATTTTGTTTGTTGCGCCCACACTAACGCCATCGAGGACGTCTTCATATCTTGGCCCTCGTCACCCACATATTCTAGTCGCGACTGCAACCCCCTTCGACTGTTATTCTGCTACGTACCTAGTTCCCTCGAATCATGATACCAACAAAGTGCTAGCCTCTTTCCACCAATCTTGGTTTCTGTGGCCGTGCTGGATTTGTTGCAGTCCATTCGTCCTGCACTCTTTCCCACACTAGGTAGTGGGTGGGCAGGCATCTGCAATGTACTTTGTATCTCTTCGAACCAAGGAGGGGACTACCATGTAGAGAAAATGGCAAGTGGGGGGCAGCGCGACCTGTACGTACCTACCTACTTCCCTGTAGGTAGGTTGTTTGTTTGACGAGGCACCCCCTTCCATCGCTTCGCAGTCTTTCTCTTTGTGGCTCATCACTTTAGAGGTGGTAGTTTCGCTCCAGTCGCCAAGTTGCTTCAACGGGTCAAAGAAAGGTCTAGTCCACGTTCCAGTGGTGACTGCAGCCACCGGCTGGCTGCCAATAGACTGCCGCGATATCGAGTGCCCGTCAGGCCAACCGACCCTGTGATGGCGGCCTTGCCAAGCGAGCTCCAGAAATAAAGGTTTCTTACGGAATCAATACAATGCCCGCTAAGTGTCATATCGGACCGTCGCCATGGCCTGTTGTCCTGAGTCGTTCGGGACGAATGCAGACGAGCTACCCTGTAAGAGTTACAGCCTTGAGAGCGCCAAGAGGAAATATGAACTCCTGTCCTTTGTTGAGACAAGCGAATCATCAAACAAGCCATGAGGAGTTCCCGAATTCCGTGCATGGGATCCGACGATGAAATCTCGTCACAGAGCTCTCTTCTCTCGAGACAGTTGTGTTTCGACTCGAGCAGCGCGCCATAGGCATACGCGGTCGGCTTACAATACCAGTCCCTTGGCTCAGCAGGCCATTTTGGCGGAACGGGGCCCTGGGCGTCTCTCACCACGCCCGTCATCAACCGCCAGCGCCCCAACCCTCGCAAACACCTCGTCTGGCATCGCGAGGCCCTCCTCCGCCCTAGCCGGCAACCCCCCATTGGCGTCCTAGTCTAGTTTGTCGGACGATACGACTGGCATCACCTAGAGATCATGTATTGGCTGAATTGACCGCGTCGTCAAGGGCCGAGGTTGTCGTGCTGACGGGGGAAGCGGGCGTGTGTCAGCGTCCAGCCGAAGTCGGGATGGTGGACCTGCAGACCCGTGTCGAGGGCTGCGGCGGTCCCCGGGGACGGCGCCAGTCTGGGACCGGCGACCAAGCTTTGGGAAGCAGCGGTTGCGCTTCAACGGGATATGTGGTTTTCAAAATTTCCCGTCTTTTCTATACACTTCTCAAATCTCGTTTCACCGGTCGACTATCAGTGTCATCCCTTCCCCTCTCGTACTCACCAAGGCCAGCACCAGGTCTATGGAGTCCCAAGATACCGCGATCCCCAAAGGCGAAGGTGGTGAAGACGGCCAATCTTCGGATTCGCGGATAGAGAGTTGATACGTCGAGCAACAGGAGGGTTAATGGTAGGTCCAATTGCTACCGTAACAGAGATAGGCTTTTCCAACAACAAAGAAGCACTCCCTCCCTGGACGAGCTTGGCTGGCTAGCGGTTGCATGTGGTACACCCCTGCTGTTCTCTTGGCATGAAAAACCTGCAGTCATCCGCATCTCTTCCTCGTATCGCCAATCGCACCACCAGTGACGCAGGAGTTCTCGTGTCCTGAGGGCATGAGCGGCCCGTTTGACGGCGCTGTGTTAGGCAAGCTGCTTCTGTCTCTCGGGAATTAAGCATGTGCCTGAAGGGACTGAGAGGGGCATGGATGATTGTTGAATGCGACAACTTCATTGCCTGTCCGCTTGAGCTGGGTGATGATATTTGTCAACTCCAGCACGAGAGCGAACATCGCCGAGCGGCCGTTGCTATCGTGGGCTAGAAAGAACCTGGCCGCCGGCAGATACTGAGCCTGAATCCATTTGTCAACGACCAGGTCCTCATCACGGCCGGAATGACATGGCTGGGCAGGTGCGTTGCGTTGCACGGATCCGCGTCCCTGCCACTCAAGAAGACATGCGGCGTACAGCACTGCGTGAGGACAAAGATCGCAGCTGGGTCTCAGATGGATGCTTCCCCCACAGACAGCTGCCCCAGGGATCCCGGGACAAGCTCCTTCCCGATCCAGGAAGTATTACGGAGTACTGGGTCACCTCAATGTACCCACGCATCTACCAGATGGTCCCGTGCAAGTTCCCAAATGTTTCGCAACTTCCCCCAACCATTGATAACCATACCGACTCCGTGCAACCTCCTCATCTCCTGTCGTTCTCCTTCCTCCGCCGGCCGTTTATCCAGAAAACGGACAGTCAGAGTCAGTCTAGTCTGAAGAGCACGCAATGTCTCGGCTTCAGTCACCGCTTCGGCCATGTCAGCTGCGCCACGTGTAACAGGTAGCCATGGTGCCGGCGCGCTTCTGCTGGAGGGGGAGGGGTCTTGAATGCATTCATCGCTCCGTGCGAGCCCGAAATCTCTCAGGTATCCCTCTCCGAGACGGCCAGCCTCCCTCCCCGCCCTCCCTACATCTCAGCCCTACGATACGGAGAAAACAGCGTCAGCGAATGCTCTACCGGTACGTGGCCGGGAAACCATCCATACATCTGCCGTCCATATGCTCTGCGGTTGGGACTCTGGCTGGGGCGGCCTCCTACCCGCGTCCAATAGCACCACTGGAATCTGCGTCAAGTGCGCCGACATATCACCCGCCTTGGCGCCACTGCGCCGCCATCGACCAAGCGGCCACGCTCTGTCTCTAGCTTGGCAGAGGAGCTCAGCATTGCCGACTGCATCGAACCATCCCATCGACCCTCGCTGCATCGACACTCCATCTCTGCACCTTCCTCAGCCCTACCCGATCATGGTCTCTAACACATGATTGGGCACGGGCTAATCAGCAGGACGTCCCATGCTCGCCAACCGGTCGTGACGGACGGACTCCCATGCCACCCAATGAATGGTCCCCCGAAGGACAGCTCCTCCAGGGTCTGAGACGTCAAGTTCCAACTGGTTCTCCCTTTTGATAGGGGTCCGGTTCTATTGGCGCTCCCGCTCCCACGCACGCGCGCACGGCACCGCCTCCACAGACGCCTCTGCCCGCTTCGCTGACATGGGAGGGATGCGAATGCTTAGGCTCCCGACCGCGGACATGCTGCCTGTTCCGGAGTTGCGGTTTGAATCATAGACACTTCGACGCCAGGTTTTAGACCTTTGCGGGCCGGCGTCGTTCGGGCAGTGAGACTTACACGATGATCGGAACGGGTAGTCTGGCAGGTAGCCTCGGTAGCATGCCGACTTCCATGTTACTCCAGATTGCCTACGAATGTAAGGCGTTGGTGCCGTGGCCCCCAACAGCAGTCGGCAGCGGCCAAGACTGCCACGCTTCTGGAATTTGCGCGATCAACATGGCGGCAACATGCGGTGTGTCACCGTCGAGGCCCGACGAAGTTGCATCGACGACATCACCGCGGTTCGACGTCGCACCCCCATCTCTGCACGCCGATGGGTACCGTTTCAAAATATCTCGGGCATGTCCGTTAGCGGTTATCGACGTAGGGCATGCGTGCCTGGGCTCGAGTCCATGCATCAGTCAGTGTCTGCATGATGGCGTATGATGCACAGCAGCCCGCGGCTGTCTCTTCAAGGCCCATCCTCCTGCCAGGTACCGGTAACCCAGCATCGCGAGCTCCGGCCCAGGCTAGACCAAGCAGGCGGGGGCGTGCTGCCTTGCGAGACGCCTCGCCCTAACTGTATTCACTGCGAAATTAGCGCGAGGTGACGGGCCAGTCCAACAGCACGTACCAATGCGCCTAAGCTGCATGTCAGAAAGAAGCGAGGAAATCGCTGGCATCGCCATGGTCCCAAAGTTCCACCTAATGGCAGGCTGTGCTTACGGCCGCCGGTGGGCCATCACGCCGGTGCTATGCCCGTTGGTGACGGTGATAGGGTCCCTCTGACGCAACCCTGATCGGGCCTTTTCGTTCCCCCTCAACACACACACACACACACGCACCGAAACATCTGACTGATGGGCATGTCCATCGTGGAGGAAACCCCACAAGGATAATCGCGCGACGCACGCACTCGTTCCCCTTTCCATCACCACACCGGCGGTTCGTCTCACATCCGGCAGTGCCAGCATGGCTTCTCCGTCCCTTGTCTTACAGGGCCGATTTTCTAAGATCTGTAGAAGGAAGCCGGGTCGAGAGAGGGCCCGGGATCGACTGATCTTGATGACGAACCCCCCCCCCCCCCCCTGTCCGATCCTGCCCACCGTGCCACCATGACGGTGCCAACGCGCAAAGTCCCCCACAGGTGCGACCCAGGCTTCCGGGACGGGTGAGTGGGTCAACCCTCCTCGGCTCCACACAGGCCACTGTTGTATGGGGAAGGAGGGAGAGAGCTGGTCAAAGGCCCCGTGGTCGTCCAGCATCTTAGCGAGGGCCTTTGGCAGCTGGTATCCGGACGGGCTTCTATGACACGATTCCGTGGCTGACCCACTCGCCCAATGGTGCGAAGCCACGGACCACTTGGGCACCTGTGACGGTCGTTGCCTGCTGACCGAGGGTTAATTTTGGTGCTTGGTGCGTCCGAGGGGCTCACCTCCTCGCGCTTCGCGCAGTAACTTGCTGAGTGCGTTTCGGAGGCCGCATCTCGGGATGAACCGGTGCGGTCTATGGACAACTGTTCTTTTGAAAAACTTCTTCGCATGAGGATACACCTCTTGCGCTCGCCAATGTCGATCCAAGGATACATGCGTGCAGTGAGTAAAATGTCAGCCGGGACAGACCTCCCGCCGGCAGCACCCGCGGCAGACTCACAGGCGAACGATTCTAGGGTATCACCTGTCATAGCCGGCACGGACTGGAGCCCTTGGGCGAAGATACGTGTATTGGAATGATTCCGCGCCGCCAACAGCCAGGCTTGGCCATATATAAGAAATTAGAAGATGTATGGTGGGCACTAATATAATGGGCCGATCGTGTGTATGTACAGCTGCTTCCCCTTAGCCTCTCTTTTCCTGGGGCGTTTCCCATAAATATCCCTTGCTTTAAACACAATCGATAGAGTCATGACGCCGGTTCTGCGTGGCCGCCTCAATGCTGTTTCTTCAGGTTCCCGTCAAACCAAAAAAAAAAAAAGCTCGTTCGCCTGCACGCGCACGAACTCTGCAACCCGCCTGGGCGGGTCGTCCCTATTGCTAAAGTTATTCCTTGCGGCTCTTCCGCACGAGCCTCGCGACTATGTGGATCTTGTCAGCTGTTTACACACGGAGTGCGGGGGGGACGGGGGACACGGACCTGGGCCCGTGGTGCCGCAGAGGGCGTCCATGAGACCGTAGACGCCGTAGTTGGGGGCGAGACGCAGGTGGTGGTCGTCGTGGGCGTCGTCGCCCCACAGGAGCTTGACCTGCTCGCCGACGGCGGAGACGAAGGAGAAGGCGAGGGTGGTGGCGAGGTTCATCTCGAGCAGCTTGGCGATGCCGACGACGGGGAAGCCGTAGAGGAACATGAAGTCGGCGACGGACATGTAGCTGATGGTCAGCACGTGGTGGCGGCCGGGATGGCGGATCTCGTGGTGTTTGGCGTGGACGCGCTTGTAGACGCCGGGGGCGTGCCACAGGCGGTGGATGGCGTAGAAGACGGCGTCGCGCAGGAGGAGGCCGACGGCGAGGTCCCGTACGACCTCGGCGGCGGACGGCAGGCTGTACGGCGGGATGAAGGTCCGGGTCAGCATCGACTGGCCGCCCATGGCGACGACAAAAGCGACGTGGGTCAGGGTCGCCACGACGTGGTTCCGGAGGCTCTGCGCCATCATCGCCGGCGTCGTCTCGCTGGCGTACGACGGCCGCAGCTGCTCGAGGACCAGCCCGAAGGCCAGGTACACCAGCTGCACGGACACGCTCCCCATGATCTCGACGTAGCCGGCGGGATACCGCCTCATCAGCGCGTCCATCGCGGGCGACGATCTGGTGGACTCGGCGACGTGAGCGAGCTGAGTAGTGTGAGCGAGGTGATGCGTGTGTGCGTGTGTATGTGTGTGTGTGTGTGTGTGTGTGTGTATAGCAGATGTGGGCTAGGTTATGTGAGCGGGTCTCGAGAGGGACGGGGGGCGGCCGGGTTCAAGTACACAGCTCGACGGACGACGATGGAGCAGCCGGAATACGCCCCCACCCTTGAGATCCTTTTCTGTCAAGCCCTCGTGGCGGGAAGGAGGAGGAGGAGGGAAGGTTGCGACGAACAGGGGACAAAATGGCGCTTGTTTGGTTCGCCCGCAAAACAAAAAAGAAAAAGAAGAGAAAAATCTGCCGGGGTAGGGGGGAGAGTGACCAAACTGGTGGAAAGTGGATGCTTAGAGAACAAGGGAAACCACAGCACGAGCAAGGATGATAGGCGCAAGCCACAAACACCATAGGCGGACAGAAGACAGAAGGACGGGGGGCGTGCGACAGCAAGAAATGGCCAGCCGCTGCTACCTAGCCTATCGTCCAGACGGGGGAGGGGGAGCGAGACAGGTCACGATATTGAGGTCGGAGTGCTGGATGCGGGTGGGAGGTGCTAGTAGGAACTTAAACACCAAAGGAGGTGGGGGGAGCCCGATGCGCTGGCTGCGCCATGAGGTGCCGTCGAAAGGGGGGGGGGGGGGGGGGGTCGTTTTGGCTCTCCCCTTCCCTACCCCTCCCTTTCCCCGAGGCCCGGGGCTTGGATGGAAAGTCGTTCGTTGCCGTGCCGCAGAGCGGACCCGGATGTGGGGGGGCGGGCTCATATCGCGGCCATGCTCCCAGGTATAACCCTGGCGGTGAGGAAGCGTTCTCTTAAGGGGGGGATGGTTTGCTCCCGATAAATTGGTAAACAAGAGGAAACAGGAAGAACAAAAAACCCCGAAAGAAAACAAGAGACAAAAGAGAAAGAGGAAACCAAGATAAGAAAGAGAGAAGAAGAAAAAAACGAATGAGAGAGAGAAATAAGAAGACGGGGTCGCGGGCAAACAAGACGACGACCATTTGCAATCACCTTCTGGCAAACCAAACAACTCGACGAGCAAGCGGCAGGGCACGGAACACCCTCCGACATCTCGCTTAATCGGTCCTCCGGCATGTTTTGGCTTCGGGCATACATCTGGCCTTCTGGCTGAACCGGGGGCCAAGAACCCGTCACGCCGATATTACCTACTACTACTACCTAGGTACCGGTATTCTGGCCCAGTGATTGGACCTGCAAGTCTCGATCATCATGTCGGAGAAGAAGGCCGCGGAGGGGGGCCGCCCGGCTCGCTAGCCTATTGTCGACTCGAACGCAGCGGTTTAGGTCTCCTGACCGGAATTGCCTTGATTGCGCCTATACGCCATTGCACAGCGTAGCATCTGATAGGAGACACGTAGGAAAGCGGTCGGTCGTGTCAAAAAGGGCGTTGCATTCTGCCATCACATCTATTTTACATGAGCGCTACACCGCTACAAAGGAGGCAATTCCTCCCGGCAAATGGGGCACTGCAGCCTGAAACGCATCCACCCCTCCAGGCAGGCGCTGTGGAAGATGTGCCGGCACGGCGTGACCATGTAGTTCCTTCGCGTAAAGACGCCCACGACACCGCCCGCGGCTGGGTCTTCCTCGCCGGCCCGCATGACGGGTACCTCGAGCACCTCGCGGCAGATGGCGCAGTCGATCGCCCGCAGGTTGCTGCCGCTCTTCCTGTCCTCGCCGGATCGGACCCGGTCGAGTGACGGCGAGCCGGGCTCCGACAGCAGCCCGATCGGCAGCCCGCCGGCCTCGACGCCGTCCTCGCGCAGGACGGGGTGGTAATCCCACGCGTCGGGCGTCCAGCTCTTGGGGATGCCGAACCGCGGCCCGAGGACGTACTGGAACGCCAGGACCCAGAGCTGGATCCAGAGCCAGGCGCAGAAGACGAGGAACGCCCGGCGGTCCGTCTCGGCGAAGAGAAAGTTGTTCTCGTACACGTAAAAGTAGGCGAACGGGAGCAGCCGCAGCACCGACTGCCCGATCATAAACTGCCACGTCAGCGCGCGGCGGCAGTTCCGCAGGATGTTGCGGTGGATCTGGGGCACCCAGAACGAGAAGTACACCATGGCCACGCTGTTGACGAACAAGTTGCGCACCCGCGGGTACCACGACGTCGACGCGATCGACACGAGGAGGACAAGGGAGACGATCATGGCGAAGCGGAAGATGACCGCTTGGAAAGTGACCTCGGGCCCCATGCGGTGGCCGCCGCCTGCCCCGGTACCCGCTGTCAGGACCGCCGCAGCGCCGCTCGCGGCGTCCGCTATCTCGGCGTCCATGTCCTGGTCAGAGGGGACGATGACAGGGGGTGACGGCGCTCTCCTGCGGGCCCCGGCGGTGACAGGCTGCGGGAGGGAGTCGGGCTCTGCGGTCGCCGCTGGCGTGGCCGGCGTGCGCGCCGACGTATCGTTGCTGGCGTGCTGCTCTCTCTCGGCCCGCCGCCTGTTCTCGGGTTCCTGCACTTTGTGGATCTCCGCCAGGAAAAAGCCGCCCAGAGACATGGACAGGAAGGCGGCGAAGAGGAGCGACAGGGACTCCAGATACGTAATACTGGCGTCCAGCGCCCACATGGAGGCGGCGGCGAAGATGCCGCCGTCGACCATGACCATCATGCTGATCGTCGAGTAGCTGATGCGACCCATGGTCGACGGCGTCGCAGACTCCTTCATCTGCTGCTTGAGCAGCAGCGCCTGGCTGAGGATCACCACGGCGAAGAGGAGGATCCATATTCTTATCTTGTGGTAGATGATCTCCGTCTTCATGCCCCGCAGATGTTGCCCGTCCATAGGAGCGAAGTCCGGGGGCCCCTTTGTCTCGAGGAAGAAAGCGCAGTCGGGCGACCAGATGATGGCGGAGAGCTGTAGCTCTGGAACCCCACGGATGGGCGCGCCCTCTGGAAACCGGAGCTCCTGCTCAATGTCGCTGATGATTTTTTCCATGCCCTCTCTGGTCGGGCGGAAGCCCTTCATGTTTAAGTAGCTCCTGTCCGGGGGGTGCACCTGGGCATACATGATGTATTCACAGTGCGGCGCCGGGTTTAGGGTGTCTGGCGGGTTGGTCAGATCCGACGTCCACGGCATCACGCCGTCGTTGAACACCTCCTTCTCCTTCCGCCGCAGGACCTCGGCAAGCGTCGCATTGAGGAGCCGCTGGCTCGACTGGAAGAAGTCGGAGCTCGGAGTGAGGTGCGGGAGACCAAAGATGCCGTCAAACTTCTCGCTCGTCGTGGTCAGCAGAATGGCACCTTGGCGCGGCCACTGAACGCCGTGCAGCCGCATCTCCCAGTTGACGCCGCTGCCCTTGACGTCTTCTATGGTGACGGAGGCCTTGGCGCTGCGGACCTTGCCGCCGGATGAGGCGACGCCGTCATCGACGACGCCCTGATATGCTATCTCTCTTCCGTGCCTCCCCGTATCGACGAGGTCCATCAGGATCTTGCCCTCGTCGCCGGTGATGTTCCTTGCCCATTCCGACTGCAAGCCACTCCAATGCAAGCTCGGCGTGATGGTGCTCAGGTTGTAGCTCGTCCATTCCCTCTTAAACATGGCCTCCTTGCGCACCCACGTCCCCTTGACGGCGCCCGTGGCGTTCTGCCAGACGGCCTCGCCCTCGCCAATGTCCCACAGGTTCACGCCCCCGACGGGCGGGATTGCGTTGTGGCTCCACTCCAGGCACCGCTCCCGGAACCGCTCGAGGTCGTCCCACGCGAACCCGTCTTGGGCGCGGAAGCCCGTGAGGTTGAGAGACCTGGGCAGCGGGCCGGTGGACGATCCGTTCTGGCGCGGGGCGAAGTCGCCCCATTTGGAGGTGTTGAGCAGGTCGAGCGCATGTCGGTGCCTCTCTAGACGTTGGACTGCGAGGTCGGAGGCGGAGAAGAGAGACGCGCCGCCGTTGCCCGGTGCGAGGAGGATCCAGAGGATGCCGACGATGGCGAGCCCGAGGACCACGGGGCGCGGGTTTTCGAAAGGGTACGAGGGCATGTTGGGCGGCGTGCCTTGTTGCCGCTTCACCTCGTGGCCATCGTTTTGCTACACTGGCCGGCGGGTTGTCGGTGGTAGTGGGCAAGAGCTTCAGGGGTTCGGAAACTGTTCGTCGTTGTGCTGAGATGCGAATTGTCAGGGTGTCGGGATGAACACTGTTGAGCCAAGGTTATGCTTGAAGACAGCTGATGGCATCGGCTGAGGTTGACTCAAGCTGAAAGCGGACCGTTGGCGGGAGTCGGGTCCGGATTCCGACGCCAGGAGCAATGAATGGTCGGTCTACCTAGGTACCTAGGTTTATTCAGCGTGCGGCTTGGCTCTTGGCGTCCCCTGTTGGCGCATACGCCGCCCCTCTGGTGCTGTACTACCTACCTAATTAGCCCACAGGGGGCGTCTCGCCTGGGAATGTTTGCCGGGCCCAGCTGCGCAAACAACCAGTGCCCCGCCATCGCCTCACTCATTCGCAAAGCAATTACGAGAACACGAGCACGGTAACTCAGCGACATCAAAACCTCTCCAAACTTGACCATTTCTTCGTCAACTCGAACAAACCGCTTAAGATGGCCTCTAACAACCCCGACTCGAGCGCAACCCAATCTGCCGTGAGTGGACCGTGTTCCGCGCACTCATCTCCAAGGCCCCATTTCCCGGGGGGGGGGCTGGCTGACTTTGGACAACGTGTACCTAGGTTTCGGAAGACCCCAAGGCGGACGTCAACGCCGCCGTCGAGGAGCTGCTCAACACCATCTCCAACAAGTTCGCCGGAGTGTCCAGTGAGATTTTCGCAAAGAGTGAGTGAGGCCTACCGGCATAAAACCCGCAAGAGTGACGTCGGGTGGCCGATTTGACATTCATCACAGTGGACGAGATGTCCCGCCGCCTGGACAACCTGGAAGCGGCTCTGTTGGCCAACAAGGACAAGGAGGGCGGCCCGCCCAAGTCGTCTTAGCCGCGGTCTACAGTCACAAGGGGGGTGCGAGGCAATATGACGTTGGCGTTCAGGCTTCCGGAAAGGCATCACTAGAGTTGGACGTGACGGCTGGGTTCGTGAGCAAAACTTTGACTTTTACGTGTTATTGTTATTTCGCCGTCATCGGTCTCCTATGCTACCAAATCATCGACTGGAGCGAAATCCGCTCAGTTGCATTGTGCTTGCTTTTTCAACCTCCTAAATCTTCCGATACCTAAAGTTCAAGATGCGTCTGAAAAAAAAAAAAAAAGGTTGGTCGGATCCCTTACAACTCCTCCTTCTCGCCAGCGACCTTCTCCTCGACCTTCTGGAGGAACTTGCGGAGGATGTTGGTCTTGCTGGTGATCTCATCGCGCTTGGCGGGGGCAAGGCCACCCTTGGAGAGGATGCCCTCCAGGCGGGCAACCTCCTTCAAAGCGTAGCCGTCGCTCTTGTTGAGCTTGTCGAAGACGCGGACGTAGTACTCGGCGTACTTGTACTGGGCCTTGTCCTTGAGGGTCTCGGCCTCCTTCTTGGCCTCGGCGGCAGCCTCGGAGAGGCTGGTGCCTCCGGTGTACTTGGCGACAATCTTGTCGAGGGCGGCAATGGTGCCAGCGACAGCGTTGAGGGCACCGCCGGGGGTGCGGTTGGTGCCGGCCTTCTGGTTGACGAACTCGATGAAGTCGGCCTCGCTGCGGCCACCGGTGTAAAGCTCGCCCTCCTTCGAGCCCTTGGGGAAGAACTTGATCGTCGGGTAGGAAGTGACGCCCTCAGCAGCGGCGGTACCCTTGCTATTCTCGGCCTCGGCGTCGATCTTGGCGATCACAACGCCATCGTCGAGAGAGAAGTCCTGAGCAACGGTCTCCCAGACGGGAGCGAGGGACTTGCAGTCTGTTGGATAGTAAGTCAGCATTGCCGGTGGCAAGAGAAGCACGGGATAGAGAGTCGAGACGTACGTCCGCACCAAGGAGCAGTGAATGCAACAAGGACGTCCTTGTCACTTCCAACGGTGGTCTTAAAGGTCTCGTCGGAGAGCATGTTGACAGCGCTGGGCGGTGTGTACTTCTTGCGGGGCTTGACGCTGGTCTTCTCCGTGATGAAAGCGGTCAGGGAATCGAGATCGCGACCTCCCTTGTATTCGGCGGGCTTGTCGCTCTTGCCGTCGAACCACTTGAGAGTAGGGAATCCCTGGATGCCGAACCTCTTGCCCAGGTCGCGCTCAGCGTCGGCGTCCACCTTGGCGATCTGGACGTCTTTGGAAGACTCAAAAGCGGTAGCAAGCTCCTCGTAGACGGGAGCGAGGTTCTTGCAGTGGCCACACCAAGGGGCGAAGAACTCGACGAGAGTGGGCTTGCCGGACTTGAGGACGACGTCGTCAAAGTTGGAGGGGATGAGGTCAAGCACGGCAGACTTGGCGGCAACGGTAGCTGCCAGGGCGCCGAGCACGAAGCTCTTGAGGACAACCATTGTTGCTTTGGATGGCTTGATTGGGGTGAAAAACTTGAACGATGCGATACCTGATCGACGTGAGATGGTAGCAACTGCCGGAGATAGATACAGCAGTTGAGAGGAGTGGTGTTGTAAGCTGGTGCTTTGAAATCAGCCTTTTGGGGGTGCTCGATAAAAGAAGCCACTTTGCAGGCGAACGTCACAGGAGCTCGGCCCCTTGTTCTCCATGTCCTTATCGCTAGTGCTGACCTTATCGCGAGACCCAACGCCAGCAGGCTCAACTTTCCTCCGTTAGTCGACACCGCACGGGCCTCCTATCTGCTCCTTCCTCGGCTGGGGCTGCCAGACCCTGTCCAATGAGAACCCACTGCGAAAGTCCGCCCACAAACCTAGGAAATTTTTACTTAGCGATCGAAAAGCCTAACCATCCAGACATCCCATCTCGAGTTTCTCGCCGACCAACCTCTCGCCCACAACGCCGGTTACCATTGCACCGCCTCCTCAGCGTCTCGACAACATCAGCAAAAATGTCGCATGAAAGTGTCTGGAACTCTCGTCCTCGGACGTACGGCAAGGGCTCTCGCAGCTGGTACAGATATCCCGTTTTCCCCCGTTCGATTTGGGTCTCTGGTGAAAGGAACATGGAGAGCCAGGAGGACGGTCCAAAAGCCAGGACGAAGTGCTGACGTTTACCCTTTTTTTCTCTTCATAGCCGTGTCTGCAAGCACACCGCCGGTCTCATCCGCAAGTACGACCTCAACCTGTGCCGTCAGTGCTTCCGTGAGAAGGCCAAGGACATCGGCTTCAACAAGGTATGCGAATATCTTCCTAGGTGCCAGACGGACTGGACAAACGTGATGGGGACGCGATCGCTAACCGGGGGCGCGCCAATCAGTTCCGCTAAACGTCGAGATACGAGACCATGGATGGGACTTGACGGTGGTCGGGCGTGAAGGCCCGTGGAAAAATGCATTCGGACAGAGGGAGGCTTCCAAGGGCATGGAGTTCTTATGGCTGGCTTAACGGAAGAGTATGCAACTCCGTCGGACATCCACTGAGGATAGACGAATACCACGACATTGAACCTTAGCAACCATGCTGCTCGGGGCCTCCAGAAACCAAGCCAAGACTGAGCTGCGCGTGATGGCGCGACGTACTTTAGATGATGAGACCGCGCGACGCATGGTGCCCACAAGCTAGGTACGGCCCTGCAAGTTCTGGGGATGCAATGATGACTCGAGGTTCATTCAAGTAAAAAGATGGTCAACTACAACGATCGGAAACGTGAGAATTGGCTCTTCGTGTGGCACAGAGCACGGGTTGCTGTTCTATTGTCCATCGTCTTCTATAAAAGTACATGATTCAAGACAAAGGGGTGAAGTAGAGCGGAGATCTTTGAGCCCAAGACCCGACAATATACACGAGCGCGAGGGCTCAAAGCGGAAAACTCTGGGTCGGTTGTACATGAAATCGTCAAACAGCCCAACTCCTTTTTTGTGTTTTGTACAATCCCAAATTTTCCCCATCATCCAGATCCCGGTGTTTCGTTCTTGCTTCATCTCAGGCGTGTGCTGGGTGCCAATTCAGGGTATCGAGTGAAATTCGTCCCGGATGTGATCCGCTTATTTCAGGATGCGGGTGATGAGACCAGTGGCGACGGTGCGACCGCCCTCACGGACGTTGAAGCGCTGGCCGACTTCAATAGCACTGGGGTGGTGCAGGGTAGCGACCATCTCGACGTTGTCACCGGGCATGACCATCTTGCTCTTGGCGTCCTCGGTGCCCTCGGGGAAGGTGAGGGTGACGGACTCGTCGGCGGTGCGGAGGTACATCTGGGGCTTGTAGTTCTCGTGGAAGCCGGTGTGGCGGCCACCCTCGTCCTTGGACAGGACGTAGAGGGAGACGAGGAAGCTGGAGTGGGCCTTGACGGTGCCGGGCTTGCAGACAACCATGCCGCGGCGGATGTCCTCACGCTTGACACCACGGAGGAGGAGACCCGAGTTGTCACCGGCGCGGGACTCGTCGCACGACTTCTTGAAGGTCTCGATGTCGGTGACCTTGGACTTGATGATCTCGTCGCCCTTGCCGACAATCTCAACCTCGGAGTCCTTCTTCAGGAGACCACGCTCGACGCGACCACTGACGACAGTACCACGGCCGGAGATGGAGAAGACGTCCTCGACGGACATGAGGAAGGGCTTCTCGAGGTCACGGGTAGGAGTGGGGATCCACTCGTCAACGGCCTTGAGGAGCTCGTCGATCTTGTCGTTGCCGATCTCGTTCCTCTGGTTGTTAAGGGCCATGAGGGCGGAACCCATGATGACGGGGGTCTCGTCACCCTCGAAGCCGTAGGTGCTCAGGAGCTCACGCATCTCCATCTCGACGAGCTCCAACATCTCGGGGTCGTCGATGGCGTCGACCTTGTTGACGAAGACGACGATCTTCTGAACACCGACCTGGCGGGCGAGAAGCAAGTGCTCACGGGTCTGGGGCATCTGACCGTCGGAGGCGGCGACGACGATAATGGCACCATCCATGTTGGCGGCACCGGTAATCATGTTCTTGATGTAATCGGCGTGACCGGGGCAGTCGACGTGGGAGTAGTGGCGGTTTTCGGTCGCGTACTCGATGTGGGCAGTGGAGATGGTGATACCACGCTTGCGCTCCTCAGGGGCCTTGTCAATGGAACCATAGTCGAGGAAGTTGGCGAGTCCCTTCTCGGCTTGCCTCTTGGTGATGGCGGCGGAGAGAGTGGTCTGGGGGCCTGGGTCAGCTTTTATCGCGCAACGGGACGGATGCAAAACTCGTCATGTACCTTTCCGTGATCGACGTGGCCAATGGTACCTGCACAGCAACTCTGGTTAGCCACGTCATGCAAAGTAGGTCACCAGCAAGTACACGTACCAATGTTGACGTGAGGCTTTGTCCGCTCGTAGACGGCGTATGTGCGGTAGATGTTGAGCATGGGGGAGACGTTCTGCCTCTTCAGGGCGGCCTGAAGGGGGCTAACATTGCCCTGGCGCAGCGAGGCGCGCGCCGTCCTGAGGAACGGCGCAACAGATCTGAGGGAGGCAGACATTGCGAGGGTGCTGAATATTAAATAGTAAAGTAGAATGAGACAAGAATGAACAGAGAGGAGATGGACGATGGGGTGCTCGTTGTCGACAACGGCTGCGGTGACTGGTTGGTAGGTTTATTGGTGGAGGGTGAGGTTCGTATCGTCTGATGGGAGCCAGAGTCCTCGAAATTTTTTGCTGCCGGGAGTTTCCTTTTGGTCCAAGCAAGACGGGGAGCTGCTGGAGCTCTTGCGTCCATTGGCAGGGCGGCCCATCCATACTATTGCCGGACCCACCACGCGAATCATCCACGTGACGTCGCGCTTCCTCTCTTGACAGTGCTAATTCGCGTTAGAGTACTCGATCAGGCACCGTCTCGTCTCTCTCGGCTTCAAAAGCCAAGATGGAGACGATATCGGATCCGCAAGATCTACCACCAGACCCACGTCTCCCTGGCCGACAGCCCCGATACTCACGCGATAACATTGTCAACTCGCTGGCGTCTTTTTATCAGAGTCTGCCTCATGTTGACCCATCTCTGGTGCGTCGCGCTCCGCCGGGCTGACCAGATATCACCGTTGCATCGCTCGCGGCAGCTGGGATGCGGTCTTTGCCTAAACGCGCCCTCGACTTGATCAGATACTTGCCGTATATCGGCGGTAAACCTGTTTGGATCACGCCTGAGACGTTTTCGATTTCTCGTGAGCAACTGTCGTCCGCACACTCATCGAGATGTGTCTCTGGGGTATGTCAGTCCCATTCGTCCTGCCTCATGCAGGGTAAGAACCAGACGGCCATGTGTTCCAGGCCAGGGCCAATTACAACAAGGTCGGCTGGCTTCCGATGATACCTCAGGAGAAACCTGTTGCTATCGACGCTGTGTGGCAACTTCGCCGATCTGCACCAACTCACCGGGGCCTCAGTCTCAACAAGAAAGTCTCAACAAGAACGTTCTGAGTGGTGCGCTCCTCCACTATCCGAGTCTGCTGGAAGTGAGACTTAACAGGTCCACCAGCATCAAGGTGCTCCTTGATCTTTAAGCCATCAGCGAAGTTGATGCGGCTAGCGGGCACAAAGTGGTCTAGACCAGGCACAATCTGCGAGCCGTCCGTTGCATTAGTCGCCATGTTGTGGTTGACAAGAATGGCGTTAGCACTAGCTGCGGCTGCATATCTGGGGCACTGGCTAAGATTTGGGGTGACAGCGGTTGGACTCTACTGGCAAGAGTACCTCCAGTCTCGCATCGGAAGCGTTCAACAAACTCTATTTTGTTTTAAACATCCGAAGCCTTATAGCTTTTAGCGTCACGTAACCCCCTTAGGACCAAGAGCATCCTTAGTAGTAATACCTTCTCTACTATTAGAGACAGCGGCCAGGCGGAGTCACCGTCTCGCTGCTTCAAGTCTGAAGGGTTCTGAGAGCCTCGGACAACAAACGTCACCTACCAAAGATGACGTTGACAAGTCTGGATCCAAGAAACGAGACGGAGAGAAGATGCGCCGTCGGAGCTTCAAAGATGGCATCTTGACCTGTCGTCTACTCGAGTAGAGTGCAATCGTCGAGTACCCAAGTGCAGGACGATAAGACAGGAAGGGACTCGCAGTGCCGTCGCGACAAACGCAACAGCAAACGGGCCTTTCTCCTTTACGTGACAATAGCGGTGATGACGATGGTCATGGCGACGACGATAGAGTACGGTTAGATCGGCGTAGGCGAAATAGTATATCATCGACGTATATAACCACTTTTGTCAGCTTCGCCACGCAGCCACAAATGTCGAAGTAAGCCGGAGTATTTAGCAGTGCGTCAAAGCCATCCTCCTCGGGGGTGCCTCCGTTTCTGTGACTGACAATTTCGGGCCTGTTGGATTATTTGCTCCACTTTGCCCACTGCGACATGCTGCCAAGAAAGGCAAAGAAAGATCACCTCTTGAATGGAGCAAAGGTGGAAGATTCCGGCCCCTTTCCGCGAGGCACGCGCCAGTGTAGGCTCCCCGGAGACCGTTAGCGGGCTCGCATTTTGCAGGGTGTTCATGGTCGGACGGTTGAAGGTTCTCGGTGTGATTTGACGGCCAGCTTTCCGACAATGGGGTTGCTGTTGACGGAAATTAAGACTGAGACTATCAAGCAGTGGCTGTGGTATGGATGGCTTTTATGAAGCTATGCCTGTAAGTCGTAAGGTATGTAAGGCTTTAATGATTAAATGTAGTCATTTTTCAAGCGAGGCCTTGGCGGGAGCAAGCCAAAAGGTATTATCTTCGGATCTAATACGAAGCCGATTACTGAATCAGGCTAATAGTGCGGCAACTTCGACCTCGAACACAAAAGGTCCCCCGCAAGGTTATTGCTGTAGATGCCTCGTCGGTTATGCCGTGGAAACGCTACACGGTGCACCTCGGGTACCTCATCCTCAAGCGACTGTGCCACGCTCGTCCCTTCCATCGGCCCACACGAACTGCCCCGTGCCGGCGAGTTGAGCCGGGTTGCCACGCCCGGCTGGGTCCTTCCGACGCAGCCCGATGACCAAGCCATCAATGGCCTTCCGATGGCGAAGCCGCAAAGGAACCGCCATGGTACGACACGCCCAAAAGGCAAAGACCGAGGGGATGGAGGCGAAGAGTTTGATTGGCCGACGGACAAGGGAGCAGTGTCAAGACACCGAAAAGAAAACGACGCCTCGGTTCTCCCTTGTCGGTCCCGGGTAGAAAGGGGGCCTAGACGTGGCGTAGGTATGGGCTAGCTACCTCGTCTGGCTCAAAAGATGCTGCCCGCCCGGACCGGTCGCGACGCTTCCCCGCGTTAGGTTCGGACTCGCGGTTGTGCAAAGCCTCCATCTCTTCATGCCCTCCTCCGGGTATCTCTCATCTCGTTGCATCGCCCGCGACTTTTTCGCAACGTCCGTCTGCCGCCTCGCTTCACTCGTCGCCCCCGTCGGACCCGGACCCGGACTCGTCGTCCTCGCCCTCGCCGTCCCCCTTTTTCCCTTCCTTGGCCTTGGCCCGCTTCCGCAGCTTCTTCAGCCGGTTGAGCCGCTTCTTCTTTTCCTTGAGCGCCTCCTCCTTGCTCATCTTGGCCTTCTCCTGCTCCTCGGCCTTCTTCTTCCTCTCGCGCTCCCGGAGCCGTAGCGCGACACGCTTCTTCTTCCCTGGCCGCCTCCTCCGCGCCGCCGCCGTCTCCTCCTCTCCCGCCGCCGCCGCCGCCGCCGTCCCCGAAGCGCCGGGGACCCGCGTCACCCGCCACGGCATCTCCATCCCCCACCACCGCTGCCGCGCGCGCGCGAGCACCTCGTCGCCCGACACCGCCGCGAACGCCATCTCCGCCCTGGCCTCGGGCGTCGGCTCGCCCGCGATGTAGTACGACAGCGGCCGCCCGCGCAGCATGGCGCCGTCGCCCAACAGCGCGCGCTCGTCCTCGTCGACCAGCGCGATCTTGGTCGCCGGGTCCGTCGTCGTGAACAGCCGGAACTCGAACTCTTCCGGGCCGTCGTCATGCTGGGTGTCGCGGCCCGGGTCTTCAGCCATCACCGCGTCCTCCTCCGCGGCGGCCATGGCAGGCGCCTGGTCGATGCCGCTCAGGTCAAGCATCCCCGCCATGCGGGCGTGGAGCTTGGCCAGGAGCTCCGCATCCTGCTGCTCGTCATGGCCCGATGCCTCGTCCTCGGAGGAGTCATCGAGGTCCTCTCGCCGGACTCTGTCGTGCGTAGGTACCCAGGTCAGCATTTGCGGCGTATGGCGGGCCGTCGTCAGAGCGGTGTGTCTCACCTCTTGGCGTCCGGGAGCTCGAACATGGCTGGTGCTGCGTGCAGGAAGTGCCCGCTTTGTTGAGTTGCTGGGAGTTGCTTTCGGTTGTCGATAGGGAAAGATAGAGAGAGAGAGAGAGAGGAGAATGTGTCCGGGGGGTGCCGGTTGCCGCAAGTCCCCGGTGCAAAGTTCCGTACTATCAGCAATTGGCGACAACAGCCGTGCGCTGAGGAGTTTCCCTTTTTTTTTTTTTGGGTGGAGCGGGTGCGGCTAAACCGTGGTGGTGATGGGGCGAGAGCGTGAGCCTTATCTTATCGCCTTTGGGCGCAGATACATACCTGAGGCAGGCAGTTCGACACCAAAACGAAATGTCACTTCACAGCAGCACCTATTCCTACGTAATACTCCGTACGCTTCCCTGACTAAAACTTTACAAATGACGGGCGCCTTTACGGCCGGAACGACGAGCACGCAGACGTCTGCAGACGCACTCATTTACCAAACAACATCCGGGGGGGCCCTCCCTGACGGGGGCTGTTTTCTCCCTCCACCGCCCAGCCCGTATCCGTACACAAGACATGCACTGCAACTCGAACCCGTTTTCCAGCTCTCAGTTCCTTTCCAGCGGCGCCTTCCAACAAGAACGGCCCACTCCCGTCCATCGTGTTGGTAAACCATCCAACCACCCCCCCAATCCGCGTGCCGGGCGTCTGGGTCCCTCATTTTATCTTCCCACGCCTCACGTCAGTCACAGGCATGGCACCCCGTTTCATCGGGTCCATCGGCTCCCGTCGCCTTCAGCCAAGGAGGGAGGGAGGGGGGTGGGTGGACATGCCGGGATCGTGACATCACACGAGGGAAGAGGCGCTCTGGAGTGGTGTGAAGCGGGCCGCCTGGCTTCTGAGCTGGAAAAAAAAGACATGATTGCTGGGCAAACGACAAGCCCGTCTCGTCGTCTGTTGCCTAGCCATATGCCTAGGTAGTCTAGTCTCTCTGGACACCTCAAGCCTCGATTTCTCGGGGAGAGGGGCAGCAGAGAAAGGGAGGAGGAAGGGGGAGGGGAGACCGGCTGCAGATGGATTATCGTCACCCAACCCGGCCATTCGGGTCCCCCCCCTTCCTTCCTCACCCCCCCCCTCTCAAACCTGCATTGCCTGTCGTGGTCCCTCTCCAATCGTGAGAGTCCCTATCCTGCTTGTTCAACCCAGCCAGCCGGTTCAGCCACGGTCTTAGTACGTGCCGCCTCCCTACATTTTGTCGTTGCTACGCTGTTCCAACACACACGCGCGCACCCGGTCGAATCCCACATGCCCGGCAGGAGTACGGATAGTAGTAGTGGTAGTAGCATTCCAGCCTCCACAGCCAGCCAGAGGCCCGAAACGGGCATCCCGCACCACCCTGGGCTGCGTGAATTGACTGGTGCTCCTGGTGGTGTAGCAGGCGGGCTGGTCTCCGCTCCCCCGCCCGGTTTGCCCCGGTGCGTCGAGATGTCTTCCGCCTTCCGCCGCCCAACGTTCTACCCCGTCACCCTTCCCCCCTCCTCGGCAAGCTCAAAGCGGGTAGTCTTGGTGGGTTCCCAATCCTCCCGCAACATGCAAGACGGGCACGATCGTGGCTGCCGACGCCCTGCCCGCCGGCGCCAGCGCCAACGCAGAACTAGTCCTGTCACGCTATTGGAAAAAGCGACCCAGCCGGGCGGGACACACATCGGGGCTTGTAGGATCATTTGACTAAGTGTGTGAAGGAGAGAGAGAGAGAGAGAGAGAGAGAGAGAGAGAGAGAGAGAGAGAGAGAGAGAGAGAGAGAGAGAGAGAGAATGGAGCGAGTGTGTGTTTGTGTATGTGCATATATCAGTGGAACATCCCACAGGCCATGGCTGACCCAGGCACCCGTATTCGCGTCCGCGCCTACTCCGTGGCACCGAAGGCGGCGCAGATACAAGATCCTGCGATCCCCCCTCCCACATCCGTACAGCACACACCGGCGAAACCAGGTCGGTTGGGGCTGGGATGCTTTGTTATCTTGTCTACCTGTCCGCTTGCGCATTTCCTGGCCTATCTCTCTCTCTCTCTCTCTCTCTCTCTCTTCCCCTCTCAAAACAAACACTTAATTTCGTCCAATCTCCGGGAATCAGTGCACAAACAAAAAAGAACCCCACAATGCCCAGGTCTTGGGTGGTGTGTAATGCCGACGACATTGGTACCAACGGAAAAGCACAGCCAACCAACACACCACCCGTTCGTTCCTCACAGACCAACAATGGTTACCGACAGTCTGGATCCGCTCCGGCCAAACCAGCCGATCCGATCCCTCCGCCATTATGTGATCCACATGGCGGAACTCAGACACTCGGGCGGGAAGAGGCTCTTTGCTGCAAACATTGCCGGCTGGAACCTCATCCCATCCCCAAGGCTGAGTCCACACAGCCCCTCCATCACAACAGCCTCTCATCTTGTCATCTCTTCACCACCAATAACGTTGGCACGTCCAGTACAACTGATGCCGGGTAGTAGGTTGCAATGCCTTTCATTGCTTTCCTTGTCCGATATCCGGCGCCGAATGTAACCAAGAAATACCATACATCGTTAAAGTAACCTCCGTCCTCCCAATGTCGCGGCACGGCCTGGAGCTGATGATAGAAGCATCCGGCCAGAGCATCCGACGGCAATGCTATCCTTCTCGTGGTATCGAAATGCCCAGCTACTAGACAATGCCCGTCTCTTGACGCCGATCTCGACCACTACTTTCCTGCGCCTACCCGAATTATGCTGGGGTCCGATCCTGTCATGAAAGGTAGAAAATAAGAAGAAAAAGAAAGAAAAAGAATGCCATTGTCGAGCAGGTTTGGACTTCACCGCCGATGGAGGACAAATTTTTGATCCGTAAACTATTCCCCCTAGTTGATGCCCATGCTTCAACAAGCCTCAGAATCGAAACCTTTTGCCTACTTGAAATTCAAAAAAAAAAAAAAAAAAAAAGAGAGAAAAAAATCTTAATCGAACCGCAATCGCTCTCCTGGCCAAGAATCGAAGATATGGTGGTACACAGTCAGGGCTGTCGCGCCGGGCAGGGAACCAACAGCTTCGGCCACAAAGCTTGCTTCTGCCGGCCCGGGTGCCGTTATGGCCCGACCTATTATCTTTCCCTGTAGTTGGGGATATCTGGCGTCGCATAACATTCAAGTTTATGCGCTTAGCTAATTAGCATTCCAGGAGTAATGGTTCATGCCATCAAAGGAGCCCCGGTGGGCGCTGCTGTACGACCCGGGGGCTGGCGGAGCAGGGCCGTGCTCATGTTTCGGCGTCGGTGCAGGGCCTGCGCTCGAGTAATGGTCGGGGAAACCGTATGGTCGCCCCTCGCTGCTGCTGTACGCAACCGTTGACGCAGGCTCGCCGGCTGTTGTTGTCCACGAACTCGAAGGCGGGTAGTAGTCTCGGGCGGGGCCAGAGTGCGACGAGGGTGCCTCGGTCTTGTAGGCTGGCGGCGCAATGTCGCTGGGGTTGTTGCCCACAGCGCCGTACGAGGAACCATATCGGTATTCAGGAGAGGCCTCGTGGTGTGACATGGGCCCGATCGATGGCTGGCTGGCATGCCTGGGGCTCTTGGTCGGCCGGGGGTTGTCAACGTATCTCGGCACGCTGAGGGCGTTGTCCGAGCTTGGTGCCATCGCGGTGGCCGACACCGACACTGGCGGCGGGCCAGTCGTGCTCTGCACGTAGGCGTACTGGGTCCTGATGGGAGGTTGTTCGTTTGCTGCCAACGACAGCTGCATCGATGGCATCGATGTTTGTAGCGGCATGTCTTGGGGCTCTGCGCCGAAGCTTGATCCGCCCGACAGCGGGAGTTTGTGGTATGGCTCTGCTCCCATTGTGGTGGCTGGGTAGCTTCCTGAGCCGGCCGGCGGTAGCTGAGATATGGAAACGGGGTTCGAGGAAGACCAGTTGGGATAAGAGCTGCTATGCGTCAGCACTTGTTTCCAAAAAGGCGGGGCGGAAACGCTGCCATGTCCATCGAGTGGCTGGCCTGGTTACAGAACGGGGGGAGGGGGACACTTACTTGGATCTCATGGCTCCCATCGGCGCACCTGGCATCTTCGGACCTCCTGCACTAAACGTGAAGGCAGAACGGGGCATCTGCATATCCAGTCCCCTTGCTTTGGCATCCTGCGGCTTGATTGCCAACGGCCCCGCCACAATGCCCAGTCCTGTCTCTACCAGCGCCTGGCCTCTTGAGCCGGCACTGGACCCCAGCAAAGGGATCTCCTTTCTGGCTTGGAAGTTGCGAGGGCTACGGCCACGCACCACGATAGGCGCAGTTGTCGCCTCGGTAAGCACGACCTTGCTACCGTTGGCCAAAGTTCCAACTACCTTGAGGTGGAGCACGAAGTGTTGCTGCAGCTCCTTCCGACGGCCGTTGTTCGCCGTTGCGCTGTGCCAAGTCAGTCAGGGTTCGCTGACGCCCAAGGGCGACCGAGTAGGTCCAGTACTCACATTCTAAACTGCAACCGGCGCCAACCGATGGGGTACACGGCGTAGTCTCCCTCAGTCTCGGAGCCGTCGTCTTGGAAAGGAATCAGGGGCAGCGATGCCGGCTCCTGGTCCGGGTTCTGGGTGAGCTCCGGGGAGTTGGGTGGGGGTGTCTTCCACGGGATGACGATGAGCCGGACGGGGTGTCCGTCGACCGACTCGATCGCGGAGATGGTTACTTCGGTGTTGCTTACGGGCGCCGTCTCTCCAGTCTCGGTGATGACGGAGAGCTGACCTCGCGGGGTGATCAACGAACCGCTGATCTGGAAGAGGTTTCGTCGGTAGCACGTCAACTCGGGTTGGAGAATGGAGCCGTCGGTGGAGTTGGAGGGCATCTCAGACAGGAAGAACATTCCGTGCAGCTGCGCGGAAAGCTCCAGCTGCTGCATCCGGCCATGTTGGTCGACGATGGTGTGCTTGTCTTGGACCCTCTTGAACGAGAGCAGCTTGTGGTCGTGGTTGACGGTCAGCTTGGAGCCATCGTCCCTCAGATCCTGGACAATCTCCTGGTACGGAGGCTGCTCGGTCTGCGAGTAGGGTCTCTTGAGGTTGGGGAAGCTGTGGTGGGAAGTCAAGCTGGGGTGCGAGTGTCTGTCGTAGGCGTCCGACTCGTCCTGAGGATAGCGACCATAGGGATAGGACCCGTGGTCTACGCTGGGGTGGGTGCTTCTCGGGCGTCCCGCGTGTGGTGAGCTGGACGAGTGGCCTCCGAGGCCGGAATCCAGGCTGTTGTTGAATCGAGACATTTGGACGGGACTCCCATAGTTGGACCAGAGGTTGGAATGCGCCGGCTCTTTCAGCTCTGCCATGACGGGGTAAGTTACCGTGGTTGACATTAGAGCATACCCTATCGGAGCGCTGCAGTCCTGTTCCAGAACCCAAGCGCGCCTCTCCTTCACAAAAACGAAAAAAAAAAAAAAAGATATGCGGTGGTTGGACCTTGCTAGGCGATCAACAAGGCGATTATATCTTGTGAGTCGTCCTGACGAGAGGGCAAGCAGAGCGTGAAAGGAATGTGTGAGTGCGATTTGCTAATGTCGGGAAAGCAATGGCGAAGAGTCGAGAGATGTAGAAGAGGCGGGAGTGAAGTTGAAGTTGATCGTGTTTAAGGTTACAGGGAAAGATGTATACTTGTATCTGATGGGGTGGGATGGAGAGCAAGAGGGACGGTAGATGTTGGAGGGGGGTGTCTGGTGAAAATCTTCGGCACTGTCCTGGGGTGGATACTCTCTGATGGAGCAGGGTCTAGGGGAGGCCGGCCAAGGTCAAGTCTGTGTCGAGTCGAGTCGGGTCGATGTGATGCCTCGACGGGATATTATTATTATTATTACACTGCAAAGGACTGTTGACTTGGGCCTTCTTCAGCGGCAGCGGCGAGAGCAAAGTCACCGGTACAACGTAACAACGGGTTCTGTGGACAAGGACGACCAGTGCATGCAACCATACTTGGAAGGAGAAGGGGGAGAAGAAGCGGGCGATCTGGTGAGCGGAAGAACAAGGCACGTAATGGAGCGACGATGATGGAGTACCTATGGATGCGCCCTGCAGAGAGGCGACCAGGTTTAGGGAAGTACCGTTTCTTAGAAGGCGGCGCTATGGGGAGGGGGGGGGGGGGGGGGGAGAGGGGGAGGGGGAGGGGGAGACGGACTGAGGAGGTAGTCGAAAGTCCAGGACGAGGGGCGGCGGCACTGAAACGGCTTGATAAGAACAAACGAGCATAGTAGAGGATGCCGGGTTCAGGGCGTTCAAGTCCCGCAGCGCAGCAGCAGTAGCAGCAGTAGTATTAGCAGCTCTCTGGGTTATGGGTTATGAAAAAGTATGTATGTATACATGACGGTCTACGGATAGTAATTGAGGGAAGATGGGAGAGCTCTAGCATGGAAACCACGCATCGAGGACGCCCATTCGCTCGTTCCATACGAGAGAACCAATCTACATGTACCTCGCGTGCGTATCCATCCATATTTGCACCCACACATAAAACTTGGGATAGGCAAGACGCATACCTATACTTGCGTACACTAGAGGTATCATGAACGTCCGCGGGTCGAGAAGCCCCGGTTGGACACACGCATACACCCACTCTCTGTCTGTCTGTCTGTCTGTTTGTCTCTCCCTCTTGCCCTAGTTCTCTGGTTCTACCACTGGCGCGCGGAGACTCTTATGCATAGTGTACACCCACACGCGCGCGCGCGCACACACGCACACACACACAGAGCGAGAGATACCCACACGCTTCAACGCGCCCCCGCTTCTGCCGGAGGCGTGAGAGACTCCCTTGCACAAACTGGCATCACTAGCAAAAGGCAATGGAAGAGAGTTGACGGCAAGCCCCCAGGGTTGGCACTACTGACCCTGGCGAGCAAGGTGGCATGTGCGGTAAGTAGCCCCGTTGAGACGGAGGGACGGAGAAGAACCTGGCATGGATCGTACGGAGGAGGCACGGGGGCAGAGGACCATCTCTCGAGGAGAAATCGCAGGCTGGGAAGGCCGCCATCACCCCTTGTCAACCAATGGAAGATCCATGGCAAAAAACAGGTCAGGGGTCAAGGAGGTGGTGGTGGGTGGGGGGGGGGGGGGGTAGCCCGAGGAGGAGAAGACTGTTAGCGTAGACAGAGAATCTTCCGACAGCTGTCCAAGGCCAGTGACCCGCAAAATCTCTACAAGACCGTTGGGCAGAGACGCCGATGAAAGGCAGGAAACGGGAAGGTGTGTGTGCTAAGAGGGGCGTGTGGAAGAGGAGGGGGAAGACAGTCGGTTCACGAGATTGCTAGAGACTAGGGGCCGAGTAGAGCTCGCTTGGGGCACACATCCAGTCGCAGCATCCCTGTCCGGGTATGGTGGAGTCGGTAGGCAATATTAAGAGCGTGTCAATATAGCAGACACAGACGCCTGACTGAGGAGAGAGAGAGAGAGGAGGTTTTTGCTGGCGAGCTGGTCAGACGTAGGCGATGTTTCTGGCGGCTTTTCTTTCTTTCCTCATTTTTTCTTTCTTCTTCTTCTTCTTCTTCTTCTTCTTCTTCTTCTTCTTCTTCTTCGCTCCTCCCCCCTCCTAGTGGTTGTTCGGCAGAGGGGGAGGTGTGATTTCAGAAAAGCAAGGCTGTCAACGGCGCAGTTCGTTCAAACATGTCTGTACAGGCCTCGTAACTCGGTTTTCCTTCTGTTCGGGCCCGGCCGCCAACTGCCATGACTCTCTGGTGGACAAGATGCGCGCGCCTTGAGCAGGCACATGCCAGGGTGAATCACTTGAGAGGGGTGTAGGTTTGGGGAGGTAGACCGAGGAAGCAGAGGCCAAAGGGATCTGGGGTCCAGCGAGAGGTGAGAGGAAGAGGAAGGTCATTGTGCGGGCCGAGCAAAAGATATGCCATGGATCATCGAATACGCATCACGACTCGTGATGCTGCCGCCTGTCCCATCACTCAGGACCTCACTGCGCATGATTAGGCTCATACGAAGATCAGTCATGGCTTACATACGTACAAGGACGCTAGCAAACCCATCTATGGACCAGGCGCAATCTCCTGGGTCCTCCTTTTCCCTCGTCGCGTCCGGCTCTTGCGCGAGGTACGGCGACAGAAACAGTGACGGTACAAGGTTGATGGATGAAGACAGCGGTGCTAGTCAATCGCCCGAGAAATAATTCAAGTAACGATCATGAGGAGACGCTAGGGAAGAGGGAGGCAGAGAAACATAAAACCGCACAATGCATTATGGAAAGCAATATTAACACAGAATGCAGAGCGAGAGAAATAGAAAGAGAGGTACAAATGCGGAGGCGTCCAGGCATGTTCGTGGGAGTAGTTCCTGAAAGGGGAAGCTAACAGTCTGTGCCCGCACCTGGGCCAGGGTTGGTGGGGCAGTTGATGGAACCCGGGTTGTGACGGAGGGGTACGTACTGTGGCCCCGCCGTCGAGGTGCCGTGTCCGGAATCCCACGAACCAGTCGCATTGCATTTTTGGCATCGTGCTGCCGCATTCCTGCCAATGTACCTGGCAATTGTGCGTGGGATACCTATCCGAGACGGCAATGATCGTTTTTTTTTTGTCCTTTTTCTTTTCTTTTTTCTTCCCCCTCCCCTGTCCCTCGCCTCTTTCACATATTCATCTCTCGAGCCTCTCGGGTGTTGAGATTGGCGGTGCTCGGGTACCTCGCTACCCTACTTCTAAACAAAAGAGGGAAGAAAGGGTTCCCCAGGAAACATGAGAAAAAGAGGTGGCCCGTCTCATCAAACAGAAAAATGGAGAGACACGCAATCCGGGCTACCGTGCCCCAGGATGCATAGTAAACAAATGTCAATATTTGACACACGGCACGAAGCGAGGCGAGGCGAAGCGATTTAGAGAAAGAAAAGAAAAAATAGCCTTGAACAGAAACGAACGGCAATCATCGTTTCGGTCGGTATGCTTTAAGAAGGAGGATAGCTGTCTCGAGGTACCGTAGGCAAACGCATCAGCAGTCTAAGGCAAGGTGAGGAGGTAGGCCGGCTTCCCATTCGCAGATGTACAGACGGTTGTGCAAGGTACCTGAGCGGCTTCCACGTACCGACAGGATGAGGGGACCGTTGTGCGATAGAGTACAGGGTTGATGGCGGCTGACCGCCTGCCTTCCTGGCCTTAAAGCCGCTTCGTCGAGAGACAAGGTACACGACTATAATGACATGATTTTAGGTACGCAGCATCTGGTGTGCCTTGAAGGTGGATCTCGACTTTGGCTTGGTGTACTCCGTACTTGAGCTTCTTCTTCCTACTTGGTCGGCGTCTTGGGAGGGGCGGGGGTCACGGCCGGGTGCATGCAGAGAGGTGCAGTAGCCGCAGAAGCTTCGAGCCACGGCTGCAGCGGCGACCGAATACGGCTGTCTGTCTGTTGAGAGAGCGTTGATGGCCTAGGTCTGGGCCGGAGCGGCGGCCACATGGGTCAAGTCAGGCGAGACGGCGCGCGGTTCATGGTGAGGGTGCTTTTGGAGGGGGTGGTCAGTCACCAGATGCACGCTCATGGTCACACAAATGCCGAGGGACAAACAGACAGACAGACCGATGTGACTGCCTGCAGGGTGATGCGGAAATGGAAGAATGGCTCGCGCCGTTTCCCGCGTGAGATGCGATCGGAGCGTGGTCCGGCCAAGTTGAAAGGGGGGGTGGAGGTTGGAGGAGCGGACGCGAGAGCGAGACTGCGTGCTTCGCGCTGACCTGATGCCTGAGGTCAGCAAAGGTCTAATGTACAGACAGTATTTTACTCCGTAGCTTAACGCATATTGACTAAGCACCATCGGGGAAGATGCCGGGTTCGTTGATTCTCGACGTTAAGCTGGTGACCGGGTCAGAGGGGATATTGAACCAGGGTAGCTAAGGCAATATCCGACGTTGATGCAATGCCTCTGTCAGACATTACTACGTACGGATATTGAAGCGTGGGTTATCAATGGTAATTGTCGATGTTAAGTCTCCTCTCTTTCCAAGGAAAACGCTCTTCGGAGGCGGGCCTTTGCGCCAGATAGCCCCAAACTGCCGCAGTCAACCAACAAGGAACAGACTTTTGGAGCGAGTTGGGTGGTGCAGCAGGCACTCGGAGAGGCGGGATGCAGGCCGACCCCGGCCGGCATTGTATAGAGCATCGAGAAAAGGCGCAAGTCAACAACAGTCGGGGAGGGCAAGACAAAAGCAAGTTCGTGATGGAGGAAGGTTACGGCCATGGTCATGGTCGCTGCTCAAACGTGCCCGTGCCCTGTGATATTGCAACGTCAAGGTTGAGAGAGCCGCGGGCGGTGCCGGAGCCGGATCTAGCCCAGCCGATGGGATGACGAACCAGAGTA